AAGTTTCTGAAATCCAAATTATCGAGAAAATATTGCTGGTTGCAAATTGATGGGGCTCATCAATGGTATTGGCCCTGACTGAAATTTCACTGGAACATAAAGCAACTCCTCCCTACTTGGTGAAATTCTCAACTATCTGAAAAAGGAAACCTTGACCATTATCAAGGTAGTCTCCAAAGAAGGATTTAATCTTGAATCCGTAATCCTAACATGTATCTTCTGATTGAAGCCTTGACGTTGGATCTGTCGTTTGCAAATTCCTTGAGGAATGTAAAAGCTGAATTACCATTTCTGCCTGCTGGGATAATGCCCCTCTCAGAACGTATGTTTGGTGAGAGATTTGTGTTATCGCAACTTTCAGGGAGAGAGTTCTCAGGCTAATCCTTTCTTAACCCTTTGGAACCTTGCCTTAGCTTGACTGCACCCACCGCAAGGTAAGAAGCTCATTATCGGAGGCCCACAGTGACTACACTGCTGATTTCACTGAGACTGAGATCGCTTCTCTGACTGGACAGCTCCTCAAGGAATTCAGGTATGAAAGGCCATGAGGGGGGAAAAGGGTCTAGTCAACTCTCCGAGATTGCCAGCAGTGGAATGAGAGAGTGTTTTTGTTTGTTTTTCCATCACCCATGCCACGTTACTTGTTTGACGCAGCACCCTGCAAAATGTCAGCAGCTTCTGCTGCAAACTTTTGATTTCTTGAGATAAACCATTATTTTAGTTTGTATTTTTTTCTCTAAATGCAGTCTAAGACAAGGTTCTGTGAGGGGTGTGTCGGGTAGATGCAACCCTGAAAATGTACATCAGCAGGACATAAATTGTACTCTTTCATCCACTGAACCTTTGCGTCTCACAGTGTCGTGGAACTTGACACCATCCCCTCCAGTCACTGCGAGATGCTGTATTCAGAGATTAGCGAGGAGGACCTGATGGGGCTGAAGAGAGAGAAACGGAAAGTGTTGACATCAAGGGCCCTCCAGTGTCTGGTGAGTGGCGTAAGCCTGATGGTGTTCAGTAGCCAAGCTAAAGATTCTAGGGTAGAGCTTCATTGGGCACGTGTTCAGTAGCCAAGCTAAAGATTCTAGGGTAGAGCTTCATTGGGCACGTACATCATCAGAAATAGTAAACAACAGACAGAGATGGTGGCAGGTGGTTCGTTGCAAGTCCAAGTCATGTCACACGTCATTTGGTCCAAATGCAAGGCAACTCACAAAGTCCTGTCAAGTTGTTCATTTTTTTTTATCCCAGTCAAGCATCAGCAGGGTAGACCAGACTCAAAGATGGAAGTCGGAGCCATGAACCAAATGATATCTAATACTTTTTAATGCATGCAAGGTGGAAATTGATACAACTAATTACAAAGTTTATGGGGTTGCTCGAGTAGCGTCTGACTTGCATTGTTAACAAGTCGCTTTTTTGGAAGTTAATTAAGTCAAGTCACAAGTCATTTTTTGCGAGTCAACATCAAGTCACAAGTCAGAGCTGGTAGTTACGAGTCGGTTCAAAAGTCCAGGTCAAGTCCAAGTTGCTTGAATCGAGTCGAGAACTCTGGTGAGCAAATCACATAAAAAAAACCAAGTAGCACTGGGAACACCATCAATGAGCCAATTGCAAGGTCTTTCAGACACAAAGCGCCTGCATGAGTCAGCGTATGTCAGTGCCGATAGGACACACTATTGCAGGCATAGGCTACTGTTCCTGAATATTTTCAAACATGCTTTGATTAGGGTGTTGGAATGATGAAAAACCAGATTGCCGAAATTTATGTTTTTGGTTTGGATTGTGATACGTAACTTAGAGGGTGCTTCCCCCCCTCCTTGAGGTAGAATTTGAATCCTTTTCAAATGTTAGTCGGAAAAGGAGGATGGTCCACATTATGTTACCTTATTTGTATTCTCATCAGAGGAAAACATAAAAGGGCAACCTTTTTTATATTTACTCTTGACAATTGGTGCAAAACAGTAAATCTGATTCCTTGTTCCAGTTTTTTGTTCTCCACCAATCAACCTGAGGTGCTTCAAAACTTGTAAAGTATCAGAATTTATGTACGGATGAATTTCAAATTCTACTGCCATGGAAACCCCCCCCCCCCGATACAGGGTGTGGATGGAGAGTTGGATACCTTGGAGCAGGATACCATGGATGTCATTGGTAACCTGGCCTGTGATCTGGATGCCGATGCACTGCGGCGCCTCTCGTCCTCCACCTTCACCGATAACCTGTACAGCCTGCAGAAATGCTGCCTTGATGTGGACCAGCTGGTGGTCGTTGGGGAAAGGCTGGTTCAGGAATTGGGGTATGTGTCCAGGCATTCCTGCGCTTGGTCTCTTCCTACTATTAAAGGGAAACTGCTCCCAATGCACCGTGTTTTGTTTCCGCACAGCGTGAATATGCAATCGTATGGAAACACTTCAACATGACCAAACGAAAGCACAAATAGTCAGCAAAGTTGGACCGTTCACCTTTGTCAATTACCACTGCTTTGAGTCATGAGAGTAGGCCTGTACAAGTGTGCGTGCTGCAGGTGTATCAAGCATCCAACAGTGTCTGATACATTTGGCCCATTTTATCCTGAAGAATGGCGAGGGATACCATAAAAGGCCATAAAATTGTTGACCGTGTATAAAATATTACAACGAATAATTTTTACGGTCTTCCAAAACAACATTTTACACAGAAAATCTTTCTAGTTTTGAGTATCTTTTTGTTGTCAACATTGGTGAATTGTCACAAACTATCCCTTCAACACCTGATCACTGGTCTGTGACTTGATTCTTTTGTATTGTTGACATGCATTTTGTTTGACTAAATGGAAACTAAGCTTCAAACCAAACCGTCACGAATGGCACTGACAATGTTCATCAGAAAAAGGAAGAGAATGAAATGTTTCAGCCAGCAATAATTACACCAGTAAGATTCGGAACTACATAAAATGGCAGCAGTGAAACAGCAACAAAAGCTGACACAAAAGTTTCTGCTATAAAACAGGTCCAATACTTCTTTGCATTATCCGTAGTCTTTTTGGGATGGAAATTATGAAAAAAGGACTAAATGTTCATTCTTCAGTTTTCAATTCTGCTCAGATCTCCCAACCAGTGGCTGTCAGACACCATATCAGATATTGGGCCCCTCCTGGTCTCACTGTCGGAACTGGAAATACAGAGCTTGGAGGAAGTGAGTCCCATAAACCGCCCGGCAGTTTGTGGCAATTTCTTACCTTTTATTGACTGAGAAATTTGGTAGTCATTGCTACCTTGCTGTCTGATCTCATGCCAGCTTTTTTTGGATGCCTGTCTAATTGTCTCATCGCCTAGAATGAGAATCTCCCCTGAAATGAAATCTAAGGGTTAATTTTTATTCATGTTTGATTATTTGATGAAGTGACTGTTTTCTTAATGGGCGTTAATTAGGTCTTAATATTATTAATTTTTATTGCAAAATTATGTATTGGATAAATTCCTCACAAATTTTTGGAAGTTATTTCACCGCATTTTACAATTAATAATGACCCCTAAGGTGCATACAAAATCTTATTGAAATAGGAGGATTTGGGACTGTTAGGGTGAACAGGTTGATAGGTTTCAATTTTCTCTGTTTTCTCTAAATTCATCCTTCACAGGATCAGTTTTCCTTGGTAGCCGAGGATGTGATGGTTCGCTTTGCTGAGTACAAAGACAAGTGGCGTAGGCATTGCGACATTGACCTTCAACCTCAAGACATATCTAGTCGGGAAGAGGGTTTTGTCAGCGTGGCTATCAAGGCTAAAGATGCACTCGTTGCTGTGAGTCAGGCAGACGGATCAAGGAGAAAGAGACGAGGTGAGGCAGATGATCAGAAGACAATTAGCAAAACTCCCAAGGGCATGCACTAGCAACACTCTGGCCATTAATATTCTAGAAATACTCGCAACATTGGCATCTCTTCACTAATTATTCACATGCATTTCGTTTTGTGACAGAGTCGACATATTCTCCAACCTGTGATGAAATTGAGTCGCTTGGGGATGGCAACATCGCGTGGACTGTGGATGAACTAGGCGCTATGTCAGCTGACACCTTTGACAGTTGTGGATATGCACTGGGTGAGGTGACGGGTTTCACAGATGCTCAGCTAGCAGCCCTTCTAAACAAAGCTAAAGAGGTACGAACTTATCTTTCAAGATTTTGTTGGCTTAGGAGGAACTTAACTCTTGTAGCCAACGTATTTGATAATCATGGCACAGTGGTATATAAGCAATAACAGGTACAGTTGGGTCAGAAATGGAATCATGTTTTGTCAGTAAATAAACCAAATTCTATCAGTCAAAACTTTTGCCAACAGGGGATGACATTTGGAAGAGCAGCTATATTCACTGATAATTCACTCAACTTCTTGAATTTCCGTCAGTTGAGCATCCTACCTAAAGGTAGATCGTTAAGATGCTTGGGTATACTTAAAAAATGGTTTGAACATTTGAACACTATAAGTAAACCTTCTGTGTAACTAACGCAAATGGAAGGCAATCTTGAACCCACAGTGATGACACTCTTAAATTAAGTTCCATGAGGCAGTGATAAGCTGGATCAGTCTTGTCCTATTGTTAGTTACTGGCTGATTGGTCCATTTAACAGGTGTTTGCCCAGACCACAGTGTTGGATCTTAGTATATTCCCAACAGCAATGTCCTTGGTTATCAGTGAAGCCAGTTTCACACACAAGCCGAAAAACTCGGATCCTTGGTTACAGGCGCTAGTAGTCTGACATCTGGGTCGTATGCGATCACGAAGTGACCTTTCACACACAACGCGGTACACCAAAACACCAACGTCCCCCGTTTCGGGAGTTTACGTAATTTGCAGTCGAGGGTCGTGATTGTTTATTCGCTGTTTCACTGGTATACTGCGCGCAATAACTGTCCGCAGTACGTTCGTATGTAGGTTACCACCGAGATTCCTGCGCGCACGATAATTACGTGTACACTGTACGTGTACATGCACTTACGGCCGGCAGCAGCCATGATCACCAATGCTGCCTTCACAAACATTCTTCAGCAAATTCTCCGCCGAGTTTCCACCATCCTGCGGTAGCGCAACACCCGTTTTCTACGGTTCCTTTTCATCTGGTCAAAGCCACTTATCTTTGATTTCGAGAGACTTTTTAATTCTCATTAAATCTTTATTATTGCAAATGCGCATGCGGAGTACTCCTGCCAAAACCAGGGTCCGTGGTTATGAACACCACGCACGTTTCACACACACGATCTCTGCGATTTTGACAAAGGTGCGAAAGTTTGGAGGAGGTCTGGACCTCGGAGATCAAAAGCCAAGGACCTTGGCAATTTTTCGCAAGGGTCACTTTTTCACACGTCACAGATTTGCGATTTCATGACATGGATGCGATTTTATCGCACAGGACCTCGGCGATTTTGTCTAGTGTTAAAAGGTCTTTAGTAACTGACCACATGGCGTCTGCATTAGCCAAGCCCTCAGCATTTGGGTAATCTACACAAAAGTGATGGGGGATCCTATATTTCCCCCACCCCAACTGAAAGGAATGGTACCAAAGCAAAGTGGGAAGTCTCTAAAAAAAATTAAGAAATAAAACCCTCAAGAACGTCACTGCCGGTCCAGTTTGACAAAAAGTATTGTATTTGTAAAGTAAGTATTTTGCCTCTGTGAAGTATTAAAAAAAAAGAGAACGAAAATGGATACTTTTAATTTGAAAAGGTCTGAGTACTGATGTACACTCAGTCATCCTCACATGTCTTAGTCCTGTAGCAGTACCAGCCTCTAGATGACACTGTATCAATCAAAAACGCTGGCTTATAACATCCACTGAGGCCTGGCATATTGGAATTCTATTTCCCAGGCCTGGGGACAGGCAGCCGACATGACACCAGATCAGATCTCCCAGCTTGGCCACATTGCATCCAAGTTCACTCCAGCCGAGATTAGCCAGCTCAACCTGACTGAGACAGACACAGTGTACGCCATCGCCCAGTACCACATCTACACTACTGATCAGGTATAGCAATACATCAACTTGTTAAGGCCCCAAATCAATCATGTGTATTTATTCTCATCGTGTACAATAAAATGACACAAAGAGCAGTGTATATTCTTCCATTTTAATTGCAATGTGTATTACATTGTATGTTTTGAGTATTCTGTATTTTATTTTTAGGCAATATGTATTACATCTGTGGCTTTAATGATGTAACCTTTGGGCACGTGGATTTTCATCTCAAACCCAATATTTATTCTAACTGTAACAGAACAGTAAAATACTGAAGACTTTTGTTTTACAATGGAACATTTCTTTTGTCAGAGATCTACGATGTTTTAGAGTGACAGATCTAGAGATCAATTTTATGGACTTATGTGCATAATCCCTTCCTGGGTCAAACTTTACTACTCAGCAAACAGTGATGAGATTGCTCAAAAAACAAAACACCTTGCAAAGATCACTGTTGTGCCTAACTTTTGGACATGTTTAATTTCACTGGTACTATATAAAACTTAAGTTTCCTTTTTTTGCTTGTCTGTACATTTCTGTAATGGGAAGGTTAGATTAGCTGAATCTGTTATGGCCTGGATTTTCTTAACATTGTCACCTTTGGTAACTTTGGGACTCACCCTGAATTCTGTGATTAGCAACATGTGACTTCTGTTATCTTCATAATTTGTTTAGCTGGGAGCTGGTGTGGCTAGATTCCTAGAGTTGAGTGGTGTGTCGGTGGCCAGCTTAGATTCCCTAGACCTCACAGCCCTGGGTAACTTCCTCTGTGGCCTGACTGTGGTGGAGATGGCCAGTATTCCAAGTAGCGCATATCAGTGAGTCAGTAACAGTCTGATCAGTCCTGCGTACGGCAAGATTCTTTACCATTTACTTTTCCTGATGCATTTCTTCTGGATCCATCTCACTCTAAGGGATTTCCTGTGGCAGTTTCACAGATTTGTAACCTGATCTAATTATCATTGCGTCAGCAGGAGTTGGTGACTGGATAGTGTCAAACTTTTCTTGAGTCTTCAATGGAGGACAAGTTTACATGCATCATATATTTACAGTTCCCATTGGTTTTGTATGTCCACAAACATCTAGTAATTTCCCAGATGTAGACCAAGTGTTGTACATGACTTGGTAGGCTATATACATAGCCTGTTGTAAATGAAGGTACATGACTGAGTCTTGATCTGAGTGTCAATAAATCAGAAAGTCCTAACAATCAAATTCATTGGTGAAGGCACCTTATCACTAGAACTGATCCTTTGTGTTTTCTGCATCAAGGGAAGCAGCTAGTACCATTGGTGATCTGAGGAGTTGTGATGCAGGCCAGTGGGCTTCCCTCAAGGCCAAGGCCGTAGAAGAGTACGGGGCCATTGATACCTGGATGCCTGAAGTCTTTGCTGAAGTTGGCTCACTTGTAGGTAAGTCTTCAAACCGTAAAAGTTGACTCTTCTCATTTCCAGATAAGCCAAACCAGTAGCACTTGATAGTTAAGTGCTTGGATCATGGCCTATCCTCGCAATCTGAGTCTCGAGACCCATCCTCAAGGGCTACTTGCAGACATTGTAGTTGGTTTCAGTTCTTTCAAATGCTGTTGTCAGTATTGTGTCTTAAATCACATCTGTGGTTGCCTCTACAGAAATGGAGACAACTGAAACTTGCTGACAAAATGGGCTCCATCATCCTAGTCTCTTTATCAAATATGGGTAATTCCAGAAATGAAGGGTCCAAAAGTGTGACACTTTTGTGTCCCTGTTGCATCTGACCTTTGTTAGTTGACACGGAGATATCACCGGAATTGATTTCAAACTATTACTATTTGTTTGGCAGGTAATTTGCATTAATTCATCACTTTTGGAAATTGGAAAATGTGTTCTGAACCTACAAAATCATACGTCAGATGTAACTGGGACACACACAAAAATGGACCCCTAATTTTTGGAATTACCCACATTGAAATCGTGAAATCGTTCACTAAAAAGGTGAAGTGCATCATTACAAGCTCATTATTTACATACTGCCTGATCTTTGAGCAGTGTTTGATTTCATGTCTGTGTCTTCCTTTCAGCCGGTTTCACAGCAGAGGAGTTGAGCAGTCTGTCTGATGTCAGCATTGCCGGTATCAAACCTCACGCTGTATCTCTCATAGGTCCACAGACGCTGGCTGTAAGTACATGCTACCATACCTGCCAGCCTGTCGTACCCCTACCTGAGGTCAAGCATCACCACATAATAGATTAGAATTTTAACTGAACCGAGGGCTCATTTAAATACATTTTAATCTATTGTGGGGTAATGCCTGACCTCATTGTGCGTGCGTCAATCACAAGTCAGTCATACAGGTACAGGTACACGTACATTGTACATGGCCACATATAAGCACAGATCATCAATCACAACTCCATTGTAATGTCTGTTGTTTTGGAATGCTATTTACATGTTGTTTGGTTGGCATGACAATCACACAGAAGTTTAGCTGGTAACCTTTGTTTTTGAGTAAGGTTTTTGGCACTTCAGCAAATTTGGAAGGAGCTCTGTGAAATTGGGCCATGCATCAACGGCATTTGCTTATTCTTAATGTTTTTACATTTTACCTCTGAGCATGGAGGTAGAAATAGACTATCTCCATGCTCTGAGTCAGTGCTTTTACTGTTGGTGCATCAGAACTGATGATCTCTCTCTTACTGTATAAATGTTTTGTACGTCTGTGTTTTGCCAAGGAGCCTAAGGTACATGTACCCAGTTTTGGGACTAAATATACTCTGCAACTTGACCTAAACACACTGATTGGGAATGCTATGGCAGAGTTTAATAAAAAACAATCAGCTGCAAATTTAAAACCTTTTGACAAATTAATCTGACTATTTACTCCGACTGAAAGTACTCTGACTTGTACTCATAATTAAAAGTGCTCGTACTCGAAAATCAGTTCTTGTCCTTGGCTGGTAAGTACTCAGACTTTCAGGTACTTGGAAACTTAAGTACTCGGCAGTACTCTGTGCTCGGAAAAAGTACTCGACTACAAAACTTGTTGGTAACCAACCAAGTAGCATTTTCAAGGCTAAAAAAAAAATGGACCAAGCAACAAAAGATAAGCAAATATATGTGACTCTTTTCAGGCTGGTTGGAGTAGTTCCCAGCTTAGCAAGCTGGACCAGCTTCAAGCCGAGGCAGTAACAGAGGAACAACTAGCCGCCCTGTCTGAGGAGCGACGCTCTGCCCTGCTGGATGCAGAGTACGGAGACGATGTAAGCCTGGCTGAGATGGATGAGGTCACCGAGGAAGAGAACGATGGTAACTACAGCTATCTTTATTGAGTTGACTGTGCAGTGTGAGTACTGTATATATTCCCAGAGGAGATTTGTAAGTACGAGGAATAGTGTGTATTCTGTGGCCGCATTGCAAGTGGCAAAAATCCCCAAAAGGTTTACGAAAACAACATCAACCTGTGGGTGATGATATCGGAACTGCTCATTGAAAAGATTTGCAAGGGTAACCCCTTACAGCTTGAGATTTGACTAAAAATCCATTTTGATGGTCTGGTTTGGGAATGTCCTTGATTACGGCCACAAGCTTCAGTGAGAGTCAACTATTCTTGGAAAAGAGAAAAAGACCAAGAATTGCAACTGTGTTGTAATTTGTCTTACCAGGTACGCAAGGTAAAAGTGCAGGGTACCAATCAACTGGCCTGGTGCCAACTATTATTGCTATGTGCAATGTGATCTCCACGGCAATGCAGTAGAGGATCAACAAAGGTGAGTCTGCTGTCATCATAAACATAAAAATGTTGCCTTAACAGTTCCAAACAAGTTGGCAGTTTCTCCTGTCCTCTCAAATTTAGTTGGCCGTTTTTCAGAAAATTAGACGTGTTCCATGTTTGTCATTTCAAGTGCTTGTTTTGGCGAAACAGTGGTTGTGTTCAAAATAGCAGACACCCTCAAAATAAACAACTCCATTTTTCTTATATTTTCTAATAATGGTCAATCATCTGCAATGCCGAGTCCTGGTTATCTGAATATCATCAGAAACAGGTCCACTAGTAATAGCAAAGTTGAAATTACTCTCACATTTACAGCTCTTAAAACTGGGAAAAAGTGAATTTGGATTTCAAACAGCTCACTTACATATTCTATATCCAACAAGAAATGAGACCGAGGGGTTCCCCCAACATGTCCAATCGCTGTACACATTCTAGACTATTGTTACCTAACATCTACCCCCCCCCTACATGTCTGAAAAGAATCCCTCAGATTCCAGTGAGACAGTGGCCAAAACAAAGTGGGGGGGTTCTCTCCATCTCATATCTTGCTTCATATGACATGTTCCATTTCTCTCTTGACATGTAGAAAGAGCATCACATGGTTTTTTTTGCCAGTTTTACAATTTGACTGTTCAATGACTGCCTCATTGTGCGAAATTCTATGCCATTAATAACTATAGTTCTTGTATATGCACACTGTTGGAATCCCTGGAATTCATTCTTTAGAAATTAATATAGAGGTACGTTTATCTAATTTCTTTTCTTAATTTAATGCAATTTCTATAATTGCATTTTTTAAGGGTGAGGTGTTATGAAACAAACACTGACTGCTTTATGTCACTTTAGCCTCCTTCAGTGATGTGTTAAGCATTCTGTATTTGCCCTTGACTTTACAATGCCCAGATAAACATCAATAATGGTACATACAATGGGTTAGAAACTTTCTCTGAACATACAAGTTAAATTTGTAAGATTTGTGCATTCTGAATAATTCATTTCACATTCAATAATCATATGAATTTTACAGTTGTTTTGCCTATTTTTAAATGGGTATGTGTTCAAATATTCTGCTGAAGTATTGCCTTCTTGCCCGTTTGTTTAATGATAATCTCCTAGTTTTAATTGCACACCTGTTAAAGTGTTGATTATACGTTGATTTTATGTAATTTATAGATGCAATAACTAGATCTGAATGTTCACTAACAAATTGCTAATAATATATGCAAGTTTTTAGATGTTTATATTCTTTGAAATATTTTAAACTTTTGAAATATCCATATAACATTACCAACATAAGGGTAAATAAATACAAATAATCTATTCCTTCTCAAACTTATAAAAATATTTTGAATTTCAAACTTGTCATTAACTTGGCAAATAAATAAATTAACGTAAACTGTGAATTATATTTCAACAACCCTGTGATGATATTGTAAAAGTGAAAAGCAAGTGAACTAAAATAAAACTTATAAAATGAAACTGTTCATTTGATGTACACCATTACTGAGAAACTCTTGCAAGGGTTTATTCGATCCTGACTTCCATGAAGAAATGATTTTTGGTCATCAGTGTCCTTCATTTACCTCCAACACTGTTGATTCACTTTTTCCTAGAGAGGACAAACAAGTGATTGAATCAAGAGAAAATAAGTGTTAATTTGATTGAACCGTCTACCCAGAAGGCATGTCACATGCTCAATAGTTGAAAATTCACTTTGTTTGCCTGAATGCTCAGTCTCACAATCTCTTGTTGATCGCATTTTTTTTGGCCAAAAATTTTGACTTTCAAATAAAGGCAAGATACAGAGATTTTTCACATGACATCACCTGTTGAGCAGGGGCAGTTCTGGAAGTGCTCTAAGTCTCCAGCAGAGCATATATTTTTGAATCTTTGTCTTTCAATCTGCCACTTTATGGACGCAAGAATGCCGACAGACTTCGAAGGCGTGCACATTTCTGCCCACGCGTATTTGACCATCAAAGATCATGACGGTCATGAACAGGTCATGCGCAGCAGCTGAGTTCAACCACGGACCATTTACCCAGGGATGTGCAACCGCGAGCGGCTCCAGTGCAAACACATGTGCAACCTTGGTTCCATGCGTGTTACGGATTGTTATTACCCCCGCAGGCACTCTTGACTTTCTCGAAAAAATCGTGACCACATGACACGCGTTGCAGCATGCAGCATGTAGGGTGCAGCCGTGATTATGCTGAGACGACGCGCCAACGCGGTGCTTTAATCTATTTGTTTTGACAAAAAAATCTTCATTTATTGATTTCAAGGAAAAATGAAGTTTTAATGAGGCAAAATTCCCCAATTTTGTGATACACTTTTCTCAGAATGTATAGGATGAAATATTTTGAGCAGCATGGTTTTCGAAAGGGTGTACCCTGACTTAAAATATTACAAGAAAACAAAGTGGTAGACAGGAATATATGTTTTATTATTAGAGAAAGTGTTACATTATCCAATTTAATTTTTGCTTTGATATTTTGCTGGCAGTAACACGCACTGAACCAGCTCTGAGCGTAAGTTGCACATCCCTGGGTAAATGGTCCGTGGTTCAACAGACACACACTCTGCCTCAACGGAATTCTCAGTCTTTCATGCATGTGTGTGCTAAACAAATGGGGGATTAGCACATCAGCCCGAGGCAAGTCAAAGGCACGCATGACATCTCAACCCATCAGTCTTGCCTGGTCGTACAGCGAGCTAGAGTCTGTCTAAATGTCTTCAGGCACAACGTGGTTGATATGCAAAGCTGAAAGTGTCCTCCCACTTCCCCCCACCCCAACCCCCCAAAAAAACTTGCCTCTGATAATGGCTCTCAGGAAAGCCGACGACTCCTGTGCAATGACAGCATGGTAGGCAGGTCTCGCCACTGCCATGTGAAGGTCACCCCACTGCACAAAAGGATGCACAAATACCACTCCGTTGATAGGCAGAGCCTTGTAGAACTCAAACTCACTGGCTCCTGACCACTTGTAGATATCAATGGATCCTACACTACTCACTGCAGCAAGGTAGTAAATTTCTGTCCCAAAAAAAAGCCGACCGTGTGGGTGATCATTTACTACTTTACAGTCGATGTAAACTAATAAATTTCTTATACACATCCTAGAAATGTTTTGTCTCCCATATCAGAAATATTATATGATAACATATTTTATGTGATCTAGCTGTGAATTCCCAGCAAAGGTTGCTGCATGCCATGGCCAGGAGAGGAAAGCAAAGACACATTCACTTTAATGTCAAACCGACCTGTTGCAATGTGGACAAAACCTGCGACTTTCTCACATGAAAGTAAGCATGACTAAGTGAAGATACCCTGTGACTGACTGACCACGAGTGCCCTCACCTGAATTCAGTTGGGTTTTTTTTAAATGCTGAGGGAGAAGTTAACTAAAGAACTGATAAAACAATGTGCCTGTCCATATGCAACAAGTCTCAAAGGTATCAGGTTTCTGTGAACCACTGGCAGATCAAGGGGAACCAAATGGGGACCATGCCTCCCTCCCCAAAACCAGAGCAAAATGGTTTTGTTTGTGAAAAGCAGGAAAAAGTGGAATTTTGTCTTCCCTTGAAAAACCATGTTCAAGTCCTAAACTTGGCTTCACTTCTAAGAAAAGCAATGTAAGGTCACATAAAGAGATGTTGAAATCCCCCCCCCAAAAAAATACTATAAGACCCCTCCCTAAGTTTGGTTCTTGATCTACCCTCCCTTTGTACTCACTGTCAATTATAAATGCATCCATCTGTATGACGCCAACAGCATCAATGTCCTGTTTCAGTGTCCAGCCTAGCTGTATGGAGTACTCATAGACTGATATGGGCTGGTTGAGATCGACAGTGCCTTGTCGGATTGTCTCCTTCTCATTGGAAAAAAGCATGAGAGGTACGTCCTTGACAATGAGACCCAAGACATCTGAAGCCTCGTAAGTCAGGATGGAGGCTTCTAAGACAAACTATGGACAAAATAGATAATAACCGTAGCAGGTTGAATCCAACAAATAGCCTACCCCATATCCATTCACAAGATAGAATTAACCTCATCAATTCACTGACCTAAAGTCAACAAAAGCAAATATTTCGAGTAGGCAGACTTTCTCCCCTTGCCAAACAAAAATGGAGGGATTTCCTTCTTAGAGGCTTGAAAAAAAGGGAAAGATAAGAGGCATCTTGATTGCATGAAGAGAATACTGAAAGAATGGAAAATGGTTCTAGCAATGCCAACTCAGGTCTCCTTTGGGGACCTCAGCCCTACATGGTTGTGTCTAATATATATCATGTTTTGGATTTTTTTTTTATTATTCTTTTGGTCGACTACATTTAACAGGATTTCTTAACTTTTTGGATAACAAACCTAGCCCAACAATCAATTATGAAGAGTAAATGTCAAGACTTGAACATTTTTTTGATCATTTTCCAGTCTTAAAACAGAAATCAATCCTTGCTAAAATAGGTGAATTTCACTTTGGATAAGCGAGGCTGTTTGCCTGTCTGGTCCTACCTGATGAGTGGTGTCATTCCACAGCATGATGAGGGAGTATGTTGTGCCTGGGCCGCATGTGATGCCCAGCCAGTTGTTGCCATTGTGCTTCAAGTGTGTGACTGCGGTGGAGCCGGTCGTAGCAATATCTTGCAAGTAGGTGAAGTTGTCGCTGGTTGGGTCATACTCAAAGATGGTCGACGGTACGTTCTTGTCACCTGAAATGGAGAGAAAGATCAGAATGCACATTTGGCTTTGTTGCTATACTCATAAAAGCCAATCACAATGTTGCTTCGTTTTCCAGTTACAAAGGAGGTCGATGAAAACAGCACTCAAAACACATCCTGGGGCAAAGTTGGCAATTGACAGAAGTCCTTTCTTCACGTAGCATTAAATTTTGGTTTCTGCAAGATTTGTTTAATTTGGGTAACATACTCTTGCAACTGTTGCCGACATCACCAGTCTTTTGTCCACCTACAACCAATGGGGAAATCACCCATGAATGTTGCCAATGCTTGTACAAATGGAACAAGTCTCTTTCTGCTGAAGAATAAAGCATCGGGTTGTCCAATCAATATGCTTCTAGAAAGCTTATATTGGCTGTTACAAGTTATGGACTAAATGCTATTCAGGTCCCCTCCCTCCGTTACTAGCTCCACCCCATTCCTACCTGTGTCTGGATCATATTGGTTAGCCACTGCCAGGAACACACTATTGCCGATCACAAACATGGCCGTGTCCACTCCATGCTGGGCCGGCAAGTACTCCTCATACGTAGTGTTGCTCATCTTCAATATCTGCACTTGGTCGTTGGTCCCTGCGATGCTCGTACAGGCTGCACTCTGGGAGGTCACAGAAAGAGTGTCAAGCTAGGTTTGGCCCTGGAAACCAAAACCTTGCCCCTGGGACCCCCATGGTAACCCCAGAGCTTCTGATGCTCTTTATGAAATTTTGTCAGTGCCAATAAAAGGGAGTGCACATGAAGTATACCACTCTACGGGCTTACAGCAATGCAAGCAATTAGATTGCAGTTGCAATGATTCAAGCAGAGATAGAAAGATAACCCTATAATTTGTGCTTCTCTAGTTTGGCAATTGGCCATTTATATCAAGCTTTATATCCCACAGGATTTGACATTACTGGGGTTGAATTGGTTTGCACATGCCATACGTGTTCAGCAAGTAATATTGAAGTGGTTCTCCTAGCTAGGATGTGAGTCACACTCAAAATGTTACACATGGAGATAATGCTGCTGTCTGTCGATTGACAACTGGTAGCCGGTCAGCAGGAAAGCATATTTCAATCCATCATTCTTGTTTGTCAATACATGATCAATATGATTTTGAGAGAATTGTTTATCTCCCTTTTCTGAGGACACATAATACAACAAAGTTTAAAGAACTTAAATTCACAGCAAATTGGTAAACAGTCCGGTAATTTCCTGATTACCTGCCGACTCAATGTTAGTACAATGAAAACATCCTCTTCATAAGCAAACAGCTCCACGCTGGAGGCTGCGCTGAGTGGCTCATCGTAAAACTCATAGCATTCCATCTTGTCATCAGCACAGAGATACAACGTGGTCCCAATGCAGGCATCTATATCTGCCTCACTGGACTCCGCAAAGGCAATGAGTAGAACACCCTCTATGTGTACGCTGTCATAGCGATGAGTGGCCAGGGAGTTGTTCAGCTGGTATTCTTCCTCCCAGTGACTGAGCTTTACTGCCTGGGCTGGGTACCGGTGAAGCAGACAATTGTAAATTTAAACAATTGTAAATTGTTTCAACACAAGTAATTCCCATGTCTCCAATGCCCCATGTTCACAGCATGTTCTAATTATTAAAGGTTACCACAATGATAACAGGGTCCCAGACTAAAGAAAAACGCATTGAACAAAAGAAGGTCTAGATTTTGTGACCAATATGAATGGGAAAAGCATATACATGTATGCTTGATATCTTCATGGTTAAAAATTTATATAAAGAGTTCCAACGAGTTCATAGTTGATGCAAAAGTGTACATGAATTCAAATTTGCAACCATAAACATTTCTTGATGTCACTTTTTACATTTGCACGAATTGGCCAGCAGTATTGACAAATATGACGAGACACCATCCTTGCAGGTCATCACACTCACGGACATGTCTTAACTTGAGTGCACCTGCCCACTTTGGCAAGTCACGATGCCCTATTGGTCAGAGAAGAATGTAATGCACATGTTACCACCTGCGAGTCAACAGTTGGCGCCCATATGACTTTTTGTTGGATTTGTTTCACAGTGATCTGGATCCCAATTAGTGATCCTTGTGCTGGTTTGCATCATCAATTAGGCAAGTACCTGTAAACCAATGACTGATCACTGATCGTGATACAGATCTGTTAGAAACTAACTTGAATGTGGCCTTTATCTATATATCCTAACCTTTCACAGCTGTCTGTAGTGAGGCTATAGGGGCACACATGCTCCTAAGGGTGTAGTTCAGCTGGGCTATCTGCCAGTACAATAACCCTGCTATGTTCTGATGGTGCGAATACAGCTGACCAACATCGATGCGGTCAACAAGCCCAAGGACAGATGCATTGGTCAGTATGACCTCACTGGCGAAAACCTGGAGTATGCAGAAACAGAGCAAAAATTACACCACCTTTAAATCCTAGTGACTGATCTTGTTACAAACTACTATAGGGATTAAGGCTGTTAGGTTTAAAAGAAGTTTGATATGAAAGGGCTAAAGAGGAAAGAAATGGAAAGAAAACAATGGAAAGAAAATGAAATGGGGCCACTTAAGCCTTTTGTATGGACTCGTTTACACTTTCACTACAGCACGGATATAAACCACAAAAGCTCTATGCCAACAACTGTGGTGTGCAAGATCTTTAGCAGTGAAAAATCAAAATGGGCCAGCCACTGCAGAACATTTTCCTGGAGTGCAATTCGAAAATATCAACCAGAACACGATCTTCCTGTTGCAGGCCAACTCTCACTCCCTTATTAGTTACACATTCCTTGTGTACATGGGTGAAGTGAGTGCATGGATCCAAGTAAAAAACAGGTGCTCTTCTCTTGCCACGTGTTGCTGAGCAACACAGTGCCATCACTAGGTCATGCACAGAGGCAATACAGAGTTATTCTCCACTATACCCGTCAAGTTGGAGTGCACTCTCAACGATAGACAGACTGGCTGGTGCCGTGGGCAGTTTTTCAAGCGAGCTCATGCATGGACCCGAGGCATGTGCGAAGACCGTCCATTCCAATAGAAATTGGTTGTGCGTACTAAGTGCACCCTGAGCCAAACGTACATGACCTGCGTGCGCGAGTTAACACCAAAGAACCTTTGCTGTTATCCAACAGCACACCCCTCTCTTGTTCCCACTTGAAGTGGGCAGTAACACCAAAATAAGTCAAATTATTATATCCCTAACAAATATGTGAACACACACGAATGATTTTCATAATAAAATGGAGTGTAATGTGGCAGTTGTAAGTTTACAGATTTTTACAGTGATAAAAATTTAATCAGCAATACCTTCCCAATGCTGACCGGTAAACTTTACAACATGACACGGAAAATATCAAATAACAATTTCTTCTTCCTTTGTAAAATCACCTTGTTTCCTGTGATATTGAATTCGCCAACCAGATGAACAATTTCCTTCTCAAATTCGGTCAGATTGACACCGTTGACCAGACCGACAAGCAAACTGCCCCGAACAACAACATCATTATCAAATGTCTTGGATCCTGTGACGACGTGATTCCCCGATGTGGTTACCAGTTCAGAATCTACATCAATGCCATTGACTGTCCCTGCTACGGAGATGTTCCCTGAAAAGAACAAAAGAAAACAATTAAACTAGTTCCTACTCATCTGCAAAGTATTCTTAGAAATTTTTTTAAAAATCTATCGGGGGGGGGAACTTTCCCCCCTCCCCCTCCCCAAATACGCTTCTGGTGAAAGGGCCCTAAGAAACATCCTTCGTTTAACTGTATGTGAAAATTTGTTTAACTCTACCATCTGGTGTTAGCACGTACACTGTGAGGTATTTAACCACTCCCTGACGGGCGACCCGTTTTTGAGAACATAGGCTTTATATGCAGAGCCGGGGGAGCCCAGAACTGGGATAAAAGAGTTGGGCCTTATAACAAAAGACCGTGCTCAGCAAAAAAGACTGAGCTGCTGCGGCATTACCGACATTTTTCTCTCAATAGTGGAGCTAATCCAGCCTTGTTTTGAAATAGTATACCATGGTTTGCGGCATTTAGAGCGAGCGGATTACCACCGGGAACAAAAGCGCTCCACCACCGCGGCAGACAAGCCACACAGCACCGCTGCACGCTAATCTGGCCCCTATTGAAAAGAGGTCAGCAGTGCACTGTGCCGGTTTCGGTAACAAAAGAATCTGACGTAACACCGCACAATCTGGGCTCTTTTTCCAAGGCTGCAGGCCTGGTTAAAAAATTCAGGAATCAATGAATTTTACCTGTCAGCTTTAGAGTAGTGCCCAAAGGTCCTTCATTTTGGTGTAAATGGCCAGGTTATTGATGAATTTTTGAAGAATTTTGAAAACGGAAAATCTTGAAAATGAGCCGGCATCTTATCTTGCTCAAGAAAAATCCACCCGGCAGCAAGTGGTTAATGGTACTGTACTAATAAATCTGTGAAAAGCCCTGTAACAATCATTTTAGGCCAGTGGTTCACCATGAGGGGTCATTAAAAACCCCTTTCTGGATTTATAGCTAATAAGCCTTTGATAAACTATCCATGAAACAACCCTTAGAGATTTATATCATGCACAGTGGTACTTTAATCAGAATTTGAGGGATAAGATGTTCATGGTGTCGACAGCTCAATATTCTGTTTCTCACCATAAACAGTTAGGTTGTTGTAAAAATGCCATTTCCCTTGGACAATCTGGTACGTGTCAAGAAGAAACACTACATTGGCAAGCTGAGCCACGTCCACTGTATCAATTACGTCTGTCGTGGTGATGTTGCCATGGACGAGGAAACCATTAGTGAATGTGTTATCCCCTGTCAGTTGCTGGTCGGTATGGTTCAGCACAGCTTGCACTGAGAGGTCAATGCCATCAACCAAAGCTACAAATGAAATGAGGGATGGCACTAATAACGACCATGGCTGTCTGAATCAAATGTTCATTCCGATTCCAGGTTTGGCATCTGCTATTTCTTTGTTTTAAACCTTCGTGCATAAGGGTCAATATCAAACAGTTATCTTTCCCCAATGATTTGTGAGATGGCTGTTGACCACTTTTCTTCTATAAAACAAGTCTTTCTTATGTTGTTCAAAGTCAAGTATGGAATAAAGTTTTCGCATAATGATGACATATCACAGCCTTCTCAAATCATGATTATCTATGCATATACATTGTTTCATCCACAAAAAACACCGGTGGTGCCAATTGAGGGTATAAATAAAATGGTTTTACAGAAGTAAAATTAAAGACTTTGTGCACTGACACACTTAGCATTCATAGCAAAGACAATAGCAACCTAGGAAGCAAAGTTGGAAAACAAAATATGATTTTGTGTATTCCTCAAAATTTACTCCCAAAAGAAAGGGTGCCAAAACACTTTCAACACTTTTCAATAGCATTAAACAATCTTAAAGGCTATTACAGGCTGTGACTTGGGTATTCAATTAGGATAAGCTGGGTACATGCATAACTTCTCAATCAAAAAATTGGGTGCCACTGGGATTTTACGAGTCACTCCAATTAATGCCACTCTCACCATCAACAATCAAGTGATCTTGAAATACAACATCCTCGGTGAAGGCCACCGTCCCTGCTACCTCTTGATCGGTAGACATTAGCACAGTGTAGTTAAGGAGATACGTCAAATTCGTCATCCCTGCTTTGACTTCTGATACCATGTTGGTCTCCACCACCAGATGTTGGGCAGTCAGGTTATTGATGAAGTCTTTGGCACCCAATATTGTCTTCAAGGAAAAGAATTGACAAGAGCAAGATTTACCAAAATTATTTCCAAAGAATATTTGATGAGACTATGAAGATCTAAAAATGGATCTTCATGGTTTCTTTTTACCATTAACCTTTTTTGATATATATTTTGGTAAAAAAAGGAATTATGACTTAAATGATAAATCTAAAGTGAGTTTAATGTGCATCGCAGGGGGAGAAGAGCCACTTTCCCTGGGAAATATAGAAAACTTTTTAAAAGGGAAAAAAGAAAATTAGAAAAGAAAAGAGAAAAAAGGAAATGAGAGAAGGAAAGAAAGGAAAAGAAAAAGAAAAAAAAGACAAAATGAAAATCAGTTTCCATAAACATGTCTTCAAATTGACCCCCTCCTGTTGACGGCTTGTCAGTCTGCTAATGTTGAGTGCTTTGCTTGGCCTCAGAAAGAGCTATGCCCCCTTCTTGGTGACAATCCTGGAGGAATTTCCTCATCTTGTACCTGATTTGGCCCAGACAACACAGCGTCTGTGTAGATGAATGTCATGTTAACACCGTTGATCAGCCCCAGGCCATCTATGTTGCCGTCAATGGTCACTGGAGCCTTGAAGACTGTAGGGAGGTCAATGGTCTCATTTTGATCACTGCTGACAAGAATGTCAGACAGGTCTGCCAAAAAGAACAGGTTTATACAAAGGTATTTTCAACATATTCCAGAAACCTCTATGTTTGTTTTTAAAAAAAAGGAGATTTAGGGGATTTTTTTTAATATAAAGTTTCCACAATTCTCCAAGTCTGCAAGGTCCTAGGGCTGGAGAGCATTTTTAGCAGAGGAATGTCTACCTTTCAACAAACTTTGTTTTAGGGATAATCTTGTTACAAGTACGTTCGTAAGTTTGAGAGAAAAAAAATTATTTAACATTTCTTGTTTGAAAATTTCAAATCTAGAATAAGTGGAAAGCTTTCTAAAGCCTTCTAACCCCTGTTTCTATTTCAAACCCTATTTCTGAAAAAAAATTAGTCCAGCGACATTTGCAGTGGGTTCAAATGAAAATTTCTAAAAGGAAACTTATATTAAACGGAACATTTGTTAGAAATGAGTCCTACCTGATATATCTACTCCGTTGACCTCCATGTCTTCAAGCATTGCGATATCACCAATGACATGCATACCACCTTCCAGAGTCCACAGGCCTGTTATAGTCTGCCCAGGGCCATGGAGCCATACTACAGAGTTGTTAAACTGTACATAAAACAATGTAACAGAATTTCTAAAGATTTCAAGATTTGGTTTGGTGGCCCAAGAAAACAGTGATATACTGTAAAGTGCCCACTCTATTTATCAAAGTTGCCTTGACACTGAACAGAGACAGCCAGAGCCAACCACCAGGTTACTGCTTCTGAAATTACTGAATTTAGGAGGACGATGGAGTGGCTGGGAACAGTCCATTACACACCACCCTTGGTAGGAATACAAGATGCATAAGTCAATTAGCAGTGTCAGCCAGTTGTGTCGGTCACAAAAGAAAGGTCATTGCTAAGCAACAGAGCGCCCTGTCTTGATTATGGACAGAGCTAGTAGTGCAACTCTAGTCACATGTTAAGCATACATCAGAAAGATCCTCAACAATGATGGGGACACTTTAAAGGTTATCAACTTATAAGCCATGCCGTGGATATGACTTGTGACTGGTTTCTATCTGACTTGAAGTCAGCACACAGAATTGCCCCAGCGAATTGACCCCCGGTGCATACCTCTATAAGGTCAATTTCATTCAAAGTTTTCCCAATGTCCATGTTCCCATCAATCTCCAGGAAGGTGCTGAACCACAGAGTTCCCTGGATGGAATCACCGCCAATGTTGATCAAGACCAGATCAGTGGAGGGTCTGATGCCCTCCACAAAGACATCAGAAGACAAGTGAAGGTTGTCTGAGACAAATGGATTCAAGGAAGTTAACACTGTGAGAAAGTGAAATCTGTTGGTTGGTAAATATACAAGGGTGATGAGGAGACAAAATAGAAATGTTGTGTATTACAACTTTATAACTTCCACACAATTGGACCTTTGGACTGTTGGGTTCAAATCGAGGTAGCACTTGCAACTCTTAATTGATAACTTTGGCTGTGCTCACATTCTCATCACTTGGAGGTGCAGGAAATGCTTCATGCGTATTACTCTCAGATCACATGGCACAAACAGTGAACCTTGTCCTCTCTGCCATCTTGAGTATACTGCGAGCCTGATTGAGAGTATATGCTCACACTCCTACTGTTTGTGGTCAGGAGTATATAATCATCTTAACAAGCTTGAATGAAGCCTCACTGTTTTGACCAAATATCCCGTCTGAGAGTGACTTATTTTTTGCGCGACTTAGCTCCACATAAAAGATATTTTCCCCTTAATGGACCCATGTACCAGTACAGAGGTTTCTTTTTTCTAAATACACATACTTTGTTGTCTCTGAGCACCTGAATATCACTCACCAACAGAGATACTGGTTGTGAATGTCTTCAGCCCAGACAGCGATTGAGGGATGGTTCGAGATAAGTAAGTCTGGTTTACAGCTTCTAGGTTGATGCCGTTGATGAGATCAGCTACTGTGATATCCCCTGTAATGGAGACATTTCTGAACAAGAAAATTAATAACTAGTAAAAATTTAATAACTACGGATACAATAGCAGAGCAGGAAAGTTAAATCTACCAGCATGTTGCTGTTCAATTGCAATCTAATGTTTTCATAGGCCAATGGGATATTTCCAGGAATTGCTAAATGTCTGAGGTTAAGGGTCAGTGGGCACAACAGCCTCTTTGTAAATATGTCAATAGACCGTGTACAGAAAAAAATCCTCTACCATCCAGTCACTCTATCAGAGACAAAAAAAAATTACTTCATCAGGCCAGAGCTGAAAAAAGCAAACATATGATTTTTTATTTTTCAAATTTGTTATACTATGCCGTTTTAGGATTTTCAGGTTTTTTTCACTGTTTTTAACACATGAGATACGCTACCAAGGTTCATGCTTTGTAACCCTGATGAATAATAACGAAAATCAGGTTGTACGTTAAATTAGATGATACTAAGAGAGACTTTTTGGGAGGAAAATACCTTGAAAATATCTTTGGTCCAGTTATAGGACCGCTTGTATCCTTGAGAATCACAGACTGGATGAAAGGGTTGAAATGAATCCCGCTGACATTCTCAACAGTAAGGTTCTGAGAGAAGTCAACAGAAGATGTGAACTCCCATGTTCCTTGAAAGAAAAAAAAAAGAAAAAAACAAAATCACAAAAAAAGATTCACTTAATCTTCTTTGCCCATCCACTTAAAACCTTTGAAAGTTTCATGTTTTTTCATGACTTGGCATTATCCTCCAACTTTTCTGTGTTGTTTTGTGAGGGGAAAAACTTATAGTTGTCCAGAACAGCAGGACCAGTAGATCGGCAAAGTAAAATGGTGCTACAATAATTGGATGAAAAAAATATAAAAGAGTCTGATTAAGAAAAAAGGGGCCCATGAAATGGCTTCTCAGACTAGGCAGGGGATCTTACAGCCTGTGTTCTGTACTGTATTGTATTGTTGAAGGAACTGTCAGTTAGACCAGTCCACACACATTAACTGATCTGAGAAAAAGTTCCATACCTTGTAATAAAGACCAAGTAATAGTAACACTTCTGTCAGACTGTGCCTCTTGTAATGCAATATCAATGGAAAGCTGAATTTACTTCTCATTACTTAAAGTTGATAATAAGGACATGATATAAACCTACTACCTCCAAACCACCATACTGGAAATTGTCTCAATTTTGTTGTTATTGACTGACCGAGCATTCCACATACCATTGATAGTCTGGCTTCCTGACAGGGTTACAACATTCCCTGCAAAGTACCGGACATCAACCCCATCCACAGTGCCTGCCACGTGTAGCTGATTATTCACTACAAAAGGAAGGAATTAGCAGGACAACTTTTAAAAGGTTACAGTTACAAAGAAGGAAAAAAGACCTAACAGGATCTGTTCTGGGCCAATTGTTGTCAGTTTCACTTTTCTGAAAAGGGAAGCTGAAGAAAATTCCAGGATTTAGATTTCAGGAAGGTCATTCATGAACAATGTTCATACTTTATGAACAATTTTAGAGTATTCAGGATATTGTAAGAAATTAATTGTTATAATGAGTTTTTAGGAAAAGGTGTTGGTGATAGTGGTCTACAAGAAATTGCAAAATATCACTTCCAGAGGAAACAGTTATGTTCCAATAAACATCATTCCGAGTGATAAACATTTGGTACATCCGTTGGGTGATAGCTTTTTGTTAAAAGGAACTGACCTTGCAGTTGGTCAAAGGTCACAAATGAGGTAATGGACACCCTCTGCCCTGTGGTCATAACTGCACCTAAATAAAGGTCATCAAGACTGATGTAGTTGACTTCTCCTGACACATTCAGACTAGAGGTGGTGACATCCACTGAGCCCACGACCTTTTCAAACTTAATATCACCTGCCATCAGAGAGAAGATAGAAGATGAACAGTTGAAAGTAAAAAAATCCACCCGACTTGATAACCATCCCCCCACTTGTTTCATCTGGGCACCTGGTTCACTTGTAAAACAACACATTCCAGCATAAATTGGTCTCATGAGCTCAGTGCCTCCTTTGCCACAATTGAGTGCACAAACTTAGTTATCTGTGTAGTCATCACCAAAGGACATTCAATGTTATGTAAAAGCATCTCATGTTCATGCATGGCATAGATTGAACAAGTTAAAGGCTTTTGCAAAATATTCTGACGCCATTTCAAAAAGTTGCAGCAAATAGACCAATCACTCAGTCGCCCTGCCCATGCTGGTCTGACCAATCAAAGCCATGATTTATGACCAACATACATACAAGAAATGTCCAGCACGAGTGTATGTACATCATGTGAACATAGCTGAAACATGCAGAGTATGGCACTAGACAGAAGCACATGGTAATTGTCCTTGTGCACAGATGGCTCTTTTCCTAAACAACCAAAGTCTATGTAGATCACCCCAGCCTCTAGCGTCACGTAGCCTACATCCCCAGAGAATATCTGTGAAATACCGGTGATATTCTGGTTGCCGCTCAGAGTGACAACATCCTCGGAGATGTCCAAGCCATTCACCAGACCATCGATGTTCAAGTCCCCTTTCATGGCCACGTCATCTTTAATCAGTACGTCGCCACCAATGGTCTGCGTGGCTACAAGCTTGATGACCTGTGCCATTAGTGCAAGGTGTTTTTCAGAGTAAGACCAAATTTGTATGGGTTACAAATACACAGGGACAAAACACGTTAAACGAGAGTTTTTCAACTAGGTGATTGGGAGATGATTGAAACGCTTTACTTGGTGCAGTTTGGCCAACAGTCTCTAGTTTTCTGCTTAAACATTGTTTCACTCTGCTGATTAATCATCAAGTTTTTCACTCCAAATATAATGATCTTGATCTTTTATTTTAGTTCCTACAGAATTTGACATGTGGATGCTGTGACATTGTACTGACCGTTTTGTTGAGGTCAGGCAAGTCTACACCACTGATGTTGATGCCTGGACCCAGCAAAAGATCTCCGCTGATATTTGCAACATCCTTAAAGATTTTATAGCCTGTTATTTAAAAAACAGATTGAAGAAAAACAGACAGGCTGAGAACATTTCTATATAAAAAGACAATAGCGATAGACGGGGAGAAATCTATATGCAGACTATGACATCAAAAGCAAATTAATAACTTAGGCACCATTTCAAAATTCTTATCAGGTAGGTGTCAGACAGAATGGTTCGACCGATACATTTATTATTGGTTGGCTATCAGGTGAAGTGCTCTCAACCAATAAATGCCTTTACACTGCATTACTCCCAAGGCTATTTGATTTCAGTGGAGAAACACCCTCTCCATTATTCACTCAACACAAGTCACTGTTATTATTTCTTAGTGGTTGGATGACCCTGTCCTACAGTCAACCGATAGGAATTTTGAAATGATGCCTTGACAAATGCCTGCAAACCTCAGATTTAAGAATACCTGTGTTGGTAATTTTATGTGATTTTACTCAATTTAATGGCCAGATATATTCAGCACTATGTGAACATGTTTGGGTACATTGACAGCATTGAAATAAATGTTTCATCATCAATTATTAATATCAGTTCACACTTATATCTGGTAAAGATACATATTTACACAAATATATAGATGATGCAAGTTCAAACTCCTGCGAGCAGACAGCAGTACAAACATACTGTGCTGCACTGTTCCTATAAGTGGTAGGGTCACTGAAGTCAAATGGACCTTACCTTCAATGTTGGACACGTCATTTAATCGGACAAGGTCTTGAGATAGCTGGTACCCATCAATGGTGTCATTAACCAGCTGCAGGTCTCCTCTGATGACCAGTTGACCTTTGACCACTAATGGAAGGTCAACAATCTGAGGCTTGGTCAGTGACAAGATCTGCTGCTGCAGTTTGGTTAGGTTCACACCGTTGATGAACTGGTCGACAGTAATATTGCCAAGCACTGAGGATGAACAGGAATACATGTAAGTGGGCTCCAAACAAAAATTGGCACACTAGCTGTGAATTAACACACAGAATAAAAAAGAATTGTCCAAATTAGATCAACGTCATCCAAACCAATCCAGAAGTATTCTAGCTCAATTTAAAATAATTAACATGGGGCCCTTTGCATCAGATGGCAACATGCGATGGTGGTGCAGATAAAGAGCAGAGTCAGCCCCTCACATCACGTACATACTGTGGCATGAAACTGTACTGGGGCCCTTGCCCTCCGGGTCTTGCAAAATGCCAGAAAGGGGACACAAACTCCAAGCGAGCGAAATTCTTACTTATTTCAGAAACAACCTGAAGTCGACTTAACTTACAACACTAACAGATCAAAAACTCTGACAGCTGCTTCCCAGCATGGGAAACACTAGAGGAAACGGATGAAAAATGTACATATCACCCTGCCCAAGAATTTAGCCAAACCCTTCCCATGTGCCTATAACAACAGTAAACGAAACAGGTCCTGGCAGTCCACCCAAGGCCTTCCAGTGACGGCCCTCTGCTGGTACCAACTACATGCCAGCAAAACAAGGCTCTCTACAAACTGTCCATTAGAGTACAATATGATCACCTGCACCGGTTACGTGATCACGGTTTACTATTTATGCTGCCTCAGGAAGGTCAAAGCTAATTTTACGACAAGCATGAGCCCACAAAGAATGTTTATACTGTGACTTCATTTTAATTCCTTTTTTTTTGCAGCCTCTTAGCATTTTGACAAAAATCAAGATTCATAAAATTCCACGTCATGCTCTTGGTGTTTCTCTCACCATCTACGTGCTCTGTAAAATTCTTGACCCCCAATATGGTCTGCAGTGAACTGGAGGAGATGTTGACTGTCTGGAGTGGCAACTCACTGACGTCTACTCCAGCCAGCTTGACCGTCTCCTTGATCTCGATATCTCCTATCACTGAGATGTCTTCATTAAAACTGACAGACCCTGAGGGTAAGACCAGGATTTTGTCAGTGTTTCAAAACATATGCACAAATTTGTGATACAATCTTGGGATGTACTTCTAACGTTTATTTGTTTTTTCTAGAACTGTTTAATTTCTGTAGAACATCTGGACCAAGTGTTCCATTGACCAGGAAAGTAAAGTTTTTGTCTCCAGCTTTTCTGATCCCACAACGTATTTCAGGGACCTCCTTTTGTGCTGCAAAAGTTTTTCAGAAAGTGTTAAAAACATTTAATCTTTTTTATCCATGGTAAAAATCCTGTCGAAAATGAACGATTCCTTAAAGGGGGGAGATTATGCCGAGTTAGAGATTTGAGAGCTACAATACATAACCCATATACCATTACCTGTGATATTCTGAGGGCCAGCTATTGTGACAATGTCATCAGGTATCTTAAGTGAGTTGACAAAACCATTAGCTGTGATGCTCCCAATGACAGACACATTTTTGGCAAACCGGACTGGTGTGTTGATGGTCTGACCAGGGGTGCGAAGAAGGACAAACTCAGATGGTGGGACACCGTTAATCTCACCATAGGCATTCACATGGCTCGATGCAGTGAAGTCACCATCAAATGACTTGTTACCTGAAGCGTAATTAACACAAAACTTATGGCAGATCTAAAGGCTTGTGAAATAGAGGCAATTCCCATCTAAATATACTCATGACCTAAAGCTTCTTTTTTGGCATGTGGCCAAGCAGTAATAGGATTTGTGACTGACACACATAGGGTCTGAGGTTCGAATTCAGCTTCTGGCTACATGGTGTGACCTTGGGCAAGTCACTTTACTCCCCCTTGCCTCCCTCCATCCAGGAGTACAAATGGTTACCTATAAAAACAGCAGCATTGAACTCAATACTCCCCAGAGAGTTAAGGTGGTCTTCAACTCTTGAACACCACTGCTGCCTAACTCACTCCTCCCTTCTTGAAAGAAATTCACTTAATGAAGACTCTAATTCTGAGGTTGGTGTTAGGATCCACTTGTTGCACTGTTTAATTTGCAAGCATCTGGTAATTAACTTACTCATGGACTGACTTACCATAAATGGTTTGTCTAGTGTGCTTCAGCACAGCACTGCTGTCCAGTTCAGTTACGTTGACCCCGTCTACAAGGTCTGTCCTCAGCTGCCCGTCAATTTTCACCTGACCTTGAAAGGTTACGACCCCCGACACGGTTCCTCCATTGGTCAGAGACACAGCGCCAGACCTAAATGATGACAAGTCAACCTGTGCAAATGCGAGTTTAAAATTAATACTTGTAAGAATGAAAAAAATGGAAGATGACAATGATAAAAGATGAAACTACAAAAGATAAAAATGATACAAACAATGTTTATTTCAAGAAAAAGGTACATCTTCAACTTGCAAAACTCTAAGATTTCACGAAAGGTTCAAGTTGGAGGGTTCAGGAATGTTAGATCCAAATTAAATGTGACTAAAAATTTATGTGCACAGAAAAGATACTATAACTTCTGGAATTCAATATGAAAAAATTTAGTGAAAATGCACCTCAGTAATTTTGGAAAAAATGAGTGAAAAACTTTTCTGCCCATTTTCTAGGTAAATAAAATAGTAAAATGCAAATTAATGTAAAATACTTCACTCAACTCAAGTTATCTTCTCCTTAAGCAGCTGATAAAACAGAAAGATCGTTTTACAAAAAATAATGTGATTAGCATTTGAGACTACTCAGCAACGGCAGCATGAACTTACTGAATCCACTGTCATTCCGGATGCAACAATCGCATTCTGGACCAAGTCCAAATTGTAAGCTACAGTCTTTGTTCCAGAGATCTCGTGGTTCTGATGTGTCGTGACGACATCTGTGGACAGGTTCAGTCCATTAACCTTGCCGTCCACAATCACATTGTTGGTAAACATGGTGGCGTTGGTAAATATAAGGTAGCCTCGAGCAGTTTCTGTGCCTCCAATGGTCATTACGTCATCTACAAAAAGTTCCGTCCAGTTCAGGTTTTTTTAAGCATGAAACGGGACAGTAAAATATTGTGACAGTTGACCATACACAAAGATTGGGGGAAAAATGGTATATGCCTATGAGCAGAGCTGAGAGCAAAGTCAGTGGGACAAACATACAAACGCCTCAAAACCTGAAACTACTCTCAATCCAGCTGAATTTCCTAATGGGAGGACCATCAATTTACAATGTTAACTGTTGGCTCTTGTTTTAAGTTTATAACTTCTCAGCTGCCTTCCTACAGGGAATCTCCCAAACATTGTCCAAGCCCTAGGCGAATCAGAAAGTAGTGTCTGGTATTAAGTGTCATCAGAGATGAACAACCTTAACGTCTTACTTTTAGATTACTGCAATATGCCGATATGGAAGATTAAAAATAGATAATTTAAAAGAGAGACTTACATTCAATGCATGAAAATATTCATCAACTTAAATGAAATAAGCATTCTGAAATTCTTTTTAACCTGGGATATTAATGCCATTTATGTCTCCTTCCACATGCAGGTGAGAGTTCAACAGTGACACATTCTTGGAGAATGTCACATTGCCAACAATGGTCTGGTCTTCAGTAAGCTTGACCACGGTGTTGTTCAAGTTGGGAATGTCGATGCCATTGATGCGGTTAGCAGTAGTGGTCGTGCTGACGACTGTTGTGTTGTCTGAGAGGACAGTTTGTGTGAAGAGGAGCAAAGCTGTTTGAAGGAAACAAAAAAATCAAACAATGTAAAACATCAGTGCTGTAGAGAAGAATTTTACCCTTCACAGAGGCACAAATATTGGAGAAGTTATAGTCCCGTTTTTGAGGGATTGAACAGAGGCTCAGTACCGGACCATGCCCTTTGACGCAAGTTGTACCAGGACTCCGGTTGAACAACCCCAGCTGTGAGGCTACTTTTACTCCAGCATGCCTCCCAAACAAAGTCCCCCATGCTTAACAGCTGACTTACAACTGATATCCTCCTCTCCACCGATAGTGACAACGTCATCCTTCTGAGGCCGAAGAGTCTGCAGTTTGTTTTCAATGGACACCCCATCATCAATGATGGCCCGCTCCAAGTTGAAGGAATATTCCTCAACAACAGTAAGATTAGTAATGTTCAGAGTCCGTTCAGTCGAAATATTCCCTTCAAATAACAAAATAAAACCTACTCTTTAACAAAGACAAATAATCTGCACCCACCAAACAGTGTTGTCTGGAAATGAAATGACAAAAATTTCAACCCAAAAATTAAAGCAATTAAGAATTCTTAAATTTCACAAAGTGAAGTCTACAACTGTTTGCTTCATTATGATAACTTTTTGTTTTGACTTTTTGAAAACATTCAAGTTGAAAGAAGACCTATATTGCTGGTGCACAATACACTGTACTTGTTCAATCAACTGAAGGATTTTTAAAGACGAAAAACTGTGATAAGAGTTCAGCAATCTACGCAAGACAAGCTTGGGATTTTAAACATTGTCCTCTTGGGAAGCCTGGGGGGTTGTCACAGAGATTATCATTTTGAAAGTCTGTCAAAACATTTTCAAAGTAGTACAGAGCAACAGTGAAAGCAGGCATCAACTACGCTGGAAGTAAAAGATAGAAAAAAATAATTACAATTTGCAGAGATACATTAATGAAGGAAGGGATGGAGAGGGGGATAGGCCCCACTCTAGGCCCTCCTTCCCAGGCTCACAACAGAGAGAATAAAAAGCCTTTAAATTGCTTACTAATACGGAACTCAATCCACCCTTCAGAAAATGAGACACTCCTCCCTGAAAATTGGAATGCATTTATGCTACTGACCCTGTGTAGAGCTGTGGAAATTTTGATATGGTAATTTAAGATGGCGAGACACTTCAAATAGAGTAAAAAACCTTTAAAGTCCAGCTTGCTGAACACTTCCTGGTTTCCTGTCAGCTTGAGAGTGTTGTTGAGTTTGTCATCTAAATCATCAATGGCGGACGACAACGAATCAATCCGGGTTTCAAGGGAACGAAGGCAACGTGTGGTAGCATCAACTGGAGCAACTAGAAGTCAAGACAATAAGAGATGACACAAAAGCACAGAAATTGATTACAAGTCAGTTACTAATCAGGTTTGGTTTCAGTACTACAGATTTGTCTTTCAATTGACAAACCACATTTATTGAGTTTTACTTTGTCAAATTCCAAGTTTCTAAAATAATCTTTGTTTGCCTTCTACCTTGTCATTATGTACAATATAACATTTTAGGTCTGTGTTTAGAGTTTCAGTTTGCAAAAAAGAATAAGGTGATTTCATTTCCACAAGTTAGCAATATTTTGAGTTTCAGGAAATACAAAATAACCATAACTGTAATACAAACTATATTGAGGTTGCAGACTTGCTATGATTTTGAAAACATTGGTGGTTCCATTTGAATAATCGCTGGATTCTGCTTGGCTGTGGCCGATAACCAGAAATAATCCATCTGCTGCTTCAATCCCCTCAACAACTGCATCTCCTTCAATGCTGGGGTCCTTGGTGTACTGCGCTTCAGCAGTGACCCACTCTGCTTCCATGTTGAATTCGTAAATGGTCACATTCTGATGGTCACACAAATATTTTGAAAATAAAAAAATTGAGCCAAACAACTTCAATACCGGTCAGGCAAAGATGACAATAATTACCAAGACAAAATGGTGATTGCATTAATGTGCATCATGTACTGACAGACAACTTTACAACTAAAAAGAAACAATCTGAGAAAAATCCGAAGACGTTATAAGACTGAAAAGAAGTACTGAACAATTTCAATAAATTTTTGAAGACTGCATATTTCTTGGCAACAAAATTAAATTATTGAAAAAGTACGGCTTTTTGGTAGAAGGGATATCCTCCTGTACTATTTGAAAAAGGATTTTAAAAGCAGTTCATCTGCTTTTAATTGGGCCAATTAATTGACAACAATTTGTTCGATCAAATTTAATTTCATCTGCCTTTCTGTTACCTGTCCACTAGACAGAATGAGGAGAATTTCTCCATTTGGTAGTTCCACCTGTTCCCATTGGGTAGCCCTTTGAGTTGGGATTCGCTGATATTCAATGAACTGTAAACCTGTTGAAACATATGGAAACCCTAATTGTAAGTTAAGTGATTTGACCAGTCATGAGTGACAGATGTGCCTACTGAGGATCTATATCCCAGTGCTGCTGCGACTGCAGGGCTACCAACTTTAAATGTTAGGGTCAGACAAGACGTAGCTTTACTTTTTAAATCAATTTTGCACACACTTCCTGCCACAAAAGATATGTGATACTACCACCACCGTGACTAAAGTCAATCAAACCATCCCTCTTTTACCAGAGATGAGCTCACAGACTATGAAATGATTTCATTCCATGGCCTTGAGAGGGCATAAAAGTGTTGGGCAAATACATTTACTTTTTGGCCGACAAATCCCCTAAGGTGTAACAGCAGGAGAATAACCTGAAATACACAAGTCCCATACTCGGTGCCTGACAGTTGGCAACCGTCCTGTTGACTGTCCACTGCAAAATTGTCCAACTTGTAAAACTGTCTCACATCTTGGTCAGTGAGGGCTTTGAATTAAGCCCAAAATGTGGATGATAGGTCAATGTCATTTCTGCATCCCCTCCTGAAATTACAATACTTCCCAACAGTGAACTGCATCCCTCTCAAATTGTTTTATACTCAACCTGGCTCCCAAACCTGCATTCAGATATTATCATGAACTCCCTTTTAAAAGACACATGCTGATAAAGAACAAAGGCCTTACCTGTCCACCAATATATGACTGAGTCTGTCTTGGTGTCTATCACCCCATCTGCCCTGACTTGTTGGTAGTTTGCCACAGCCAAGTAGTGGTTTCCATTCATCAAGAAAGCTTCAATATCCTTAGGTGCACTGGTGGCTAACGTTTGTACTTTGACGAGTTTATCTGTCACTAGCAACCAAATTTGAGGCCTCTTAAAATTGCTGTTGAATGCAACGTTCAAAGAACTGGTTCAAAGAGACACTCGATAGTTGTAATTTCCTTTCAAATTCACTAGTCTTACTTACCAGTATCAAACTTGTAAACAACACTGCCGATGTCAAATTTTCCATCATTGTCAACATACTGGGCCACTACGATGTAGGGTTCCCACTCCATCTCCATAAATGCAATTGCCGTGGCACCGTATGTCCACACAGAAGTAATGAGATCAAAGTGGGCACCGCTGAAAACATACAACCTGCCAAAAATGATAAAATGCAAAAACAGAATATCCTCAAAAAAATTCGTCTATAAGGCCAGTCCGGAGTGCTATGGTGGAAAAGTTCGGGCTTTCCTATTAATTCAAATCCTACGAGTGCATCTCCGGTCAATTTATTTTGCAAAAATAATTGAAAGTGCACTTATTAGCCTTTTCTCGTGGAAATGTGGAAATATCTATCCAAGTTGAAAGAACTATACCAAAACTTATAAATAAGACAAAACCAGAGGAATTCAAGAGATTTTTATCTTTACCTTGTAAGTTAATATACACTGTTGGTAACGCTTTTTGTTGTGGTATATGCACTGAATACAAACATGGATATATCTATCAGGTCAATATGCAATTACCACATGATAATGGTAAATTCAAAATATGACAACGAGGGATTGAGTGCTGAGCTAGATTGTGAATCAGACATCACTTACTGCAACTTTGCCTGGTATTTGGCATAGGCGTCCCCCCGAAAATTGGCCAAAACTAAATATGTGTCGCCTTCAAAATTGAAAAACTGGAAGTCGGCTGAACCACGTGTGAAAATCTTCTGCACAGAAACAACACCCTCGGTTGCCGTGTCAAAACGATAGATGTTGGAGATGCCATCATATGTTCCAGGATCTCGAAGCTGATTGGCTACCGCAATGTATATGTGACCACCAATGGGAAAGGTGTCAATGTCTGATACTCCATAGGTTGGAAAATCACCCGCTGAAATTAATTCAATAAAAGTATGTTGAAAACTGTTGAAAGATGAGTTGCTCACTTTTATTTCACAAAATTACACTCAACAACATTATTATTTCTGTTCAACAATGCCCATTGCATTTGTTGACTGTTCTAAATATTCTTTTCAGAAATTAAGGGCTTAAATCTTCACATGAATAAGCAAAAAATAACACTGTCCTCCTAAAATTGCTACAAATAACCACGACCCCCTCCAAAGTTCACATAACTACAACTGGCTGTGAAAGAGTCTAGTTAGGAACTTTTGTGGCTAAAAATAACTCAAATGTATTTCATCACCTTCTAAAAGGTTTCTTGAACACATATTCACCAACAACAAAGACTTTTCTAAAACAGACATGTCAAAATTATCAGACAAATCCCTTTAAATGACTTATCTCTAAGACTATTAAAATGTGGAAGTAGGTGTAATTTGATATAAAAAAAAGAGATTAGAGTGGCTTACTTATGGGATAAGTGGAGCCATCAAAGCGATGTATCTTGGCGCTGCTTTGGTAAGAACCATCCTGCGCTTGTTTCCTACCGACAATGACGTACGCTTGGAGACCAACGAAGAAGTGTTCAATAATGGTGACGTTGTCGGCAAGTAGTGGTGGTTGGCTCTCCAGCTCTCCTGTCAAGTCTGAGGCACGTGACCCCATTAAGGAACAATGTTATGAGTTCAGAAACATTCAAAAAGTAAGAAAGAGGAGATCAGGAATTTAATACAAGTATTTAGTGCTCTGTGTTTTCAAACCAAGAAGAGTCATTGGTGGCTTGGTATTGCTAACAATCACTGTTGCATCATCACTGATCTGTATTTTTGAGTGCTGAATTTTTTGGTGCTAGACCTAACCAGGGAAATATACAAAGCATTGTTAGGCACAATCAGTCAATCAGCACAATTATAAAGTGCTATCGGTTAATTCTGTGGTCAAATTTTCAGACTAGCTTTCCCTGTTTACAAGAAGGATCCAAACTCTGCATTAAAAAGAAATGATTGAGCAATGGTGAAAGGATCAACAGATGGCCTGCAAGATCGACCGATAGTGCAGCGATTGACCAAACACACGTACCAACAAATTAAGATCATTGGTTTTATTCCTGTGCAAAATGTGTTGTGACAACCATTACATGCACTCTATCTAGGAGTTTCTTCTCTGATAAAACTGAAGTCAACACAGATAGGTATTTCACTTTTAGCTTTTTATAACAAAGGAATGCATACCAGTGCTTGCTGATCTTCGAATCCGTTGGTGCTGCCGTTGGAATGAATGATGAACATCAGCTCTGAAGCTCTCCACTTGCTCATCAAGATACTCCCTCAAATTGAACAATCCTCGGTAGACATCAGTGGGTGGGGTTGAATGGCAGAGGTCGAACGTTAAAAGGCAAATGAACAAGGTCAGACGCACCATGTATTCCCGGTAGAAGCCTGCCATCTGCGGAAAACAGAATTTTTGTTTCCTTCAGTCTTGGTTATCCCTGAACTGAGCTCTTTGTGTTAAGAGATGGTGTTGGGCTTTCTACAGACAACTACAGATCTCTTAAGTAGGTGTACAGGTCCATGAGCACTTGGAATGGGCTGCACAGTATGCCTGCCCATGCTAATAACTACTGTTACAAACCCTACATTAATCTAGTGGCAGAGTGAAAGTGAAAAGTCAGACACACTGTTACCAACCTTGTCAAGTGCAATTCTTGAACAAAAAGAAGTTAAACAAAAAAGTGGGAGAGATCTGTCTATGCGGACGCCACTGATTTTTCCCTGCATTGACCTACTAGTCATCCAACAGCAGTATAATATCTCAGAAAGTCAAATGTAGCAAGGAAAATATTGAAGCATTTACTATTAGAAAGCCCTTAGAATTTTTTAGACCTGTCTTACAGACTTAGTGCACAGGGTGTCAAGTTGTGTCTGCATATGGAATTCTTTCTTCAAAGTGGAAAAAATGATAATGGTGCTTTATTGTTTCTACTGTCTATTTTTTCAAAAACCTCTTTACAGTTTAAGGATAACCAGTACCAATTATTACGTTAATGACAGTGTTACGCCCCAACTATGGCCATAGCCCCAAGTCTACTTGGGCCAGTCCCAATAATTGGTGAAAATGTTTACATTATTGCAACGCACTTGTATAGCCATCTTCTTCTGCATGTGTTCTAGAACTACGGCCCAAGTATAGTTGGGACCAAGGCTGTAGTTGGGCGTATTACACCAGCAGGACTAAATTTCAAATGTTACACAGAACCAACAAGGGTAGGTCAGATGTTCATAGTATCTACTCCACAGCATGCAAGTTTTCATCGGTTGCTATGTGATGCCAGTAAGAACTTTTATTCAGGTTTGCAAAAATTGAGAATTCTATTCATGTACGTCCACGCCCACATTTGCAATTAAAGGTAAGACTGAAAAAAAAAAACAGAAACAAATCATAGATTACAAAAAAAGACTGTACCTTGAAATGGCCGACAGTATTCTATGTGAAAGTTTAGATTAACAGGCCGATCAGAAGTTGGTTACTGACATAGCTGATGTTGACGGAAAGACAGCACCATGGACTAATGAAAAATGCACCAAGCAGCACCACTGTGTACACCCTAGGAGCTCAACACCATTAAGCCCTGATCCTATGATACGACGATTGGTCCTGGGCGACTGCTTGCTTGGCATTCCAGGTATTCAAGGAGGACCGAGGTAGATTTCTTGGAGTCTGAACTCCACATTTGTGGCTGGACAATGAAAAGACTGGTGAGAAATTTGAATATGAATGACACAGACTGGGAGAAGTATTTATTGTAAAAAGAAACTATGCATTAAGGAGGCACTGGCAAAATGCATTGTTTGGCCTCAGGAATTTCAGCTGCTCTTTATTCAATAAAATCAATTATTGGAACCATTACAAGAACACTGGACATTGTTCAGGAGCACAGGAAATGGGTAGGTGTAGTGGGAAAACTAGCAGACATGATTGGTGGCTATGTGACCCATGTATCACTCCTGGCATTCAACACCACTGGAAGTGGTGTAAACCAGTATTTCACACACATTTGTTCTTCATCCCATTTTAACCCCTTCTGATTGTTAAAACTTGGGGCATACATGATTATAAGAAGTAACCTTCAATGCAACGCTGAAAATTTCAACACAAAACTATTCATTTTGTAGAGAACAATCAAACAGACCCAAATAGCCATTTTTTTGGTGGAGGAACGATGATACACTTCAAAAACCCACTTGAAACTCTGGCAGTTCAAAGAAAAATTCTGAAATGAATAAAATTCCTTTCTGCATTAGTGGGGGGGGTGTACAACATTCAAAAATATGACAACATACAGGTTTTAGAAAATAAACCGGTAACAGCAGACAGTGACAGACAATGGTTGATTTGTTGGACACCTTTTTTATTCAGAATTTCACTTTTTTTCTATGTCCTTGGAGTGAAAAACCGCTGCCCCTCTCAAACTTTACCTTGTTTATTGTTAAAGATGTGAACAATTTGTTAGGGTTCCGGTTAAACATAAAATCCACAAACAATGCATCAACATGTTGCTTGACCAGTCTGTATCAAATGCAATAAATTATGTCTATGCTAATCACTATGTTTGTTGGGATTAACAAAACATACTTATTTCACAAAATTACTGGACAAAAATCCTTTACTTTTATAAAAAAAACAACAAAAAGACTGCCAAAATCGTTTATTTGGGGGAAAAGGAATATACATTTATTCTAATAAATGAAGTAATTTAAATTTTGCTGAGGGCTCAATTACATGAAGTGAGGATATCCTACCTAAAAATGCAGCACTAGTGCCCAGCAAACAGAAACAAACTGATATGTTCAAAAAACATTTCATCTTGTTTTTGTTGCAACTATTAATATGAAAACGGCATTTTTACTTGCTCTCCTCACATCATGAAATTGAGCCCTAAAAGATTCATCTCTGGGAAGCAAACAAGAACAGTAACAATTAAAAAAAAAATCAAACACAATCTTTCACTTTCACAGAGAAACTATGCAGTCAACTAGTACGCAAGCGAGAGAAACTGCACAGCAAATCTGTGAAATGGAAGCATTAAAATTCACAATGAAAGCATCCTCAATGATCGTGAAAATGTAATTCAGACAATCAAAATATGATGTGGCAAAGACCACACGGAAAAATCTGAGTGCTTACATAATTCATTACCACTCAAACTGCTACTGCATTCGCTTGCAATATCGGTTCTCAACTTACGTTCACATAGAGATATTTTTTTCCCCACATTTTTTTCTGGCTTATATAATACCCTTGTTCCAATGGATGATGCAATCGAATCCCAGTCTGGTTTTTGGCAGTGACCGTATTCAACATCGGATTTAACGACAACGGCGGAAATGTTTTACAAAGCCCGGAGAAAAACAACAATTGATGCAGAGCTTCCTAGAACACCACTATGAAGAACAGGAGCAAGCCAGTTTTTAAAAGACCTCTGAACAATCAGTAAGAAACCGGGGCCAAAAAAAAAAAAAAACAAACAAACAAAATGATCCTTCATACCAAAATACCCAAATGAAATCTTTTGGAAGAGAAGAGAAATCACGGAGGTTTGAATGCCATTCAGTCCCTGGTATTGTGTAATCACTGTTACCTAGGCAACTAAACACTGCGGAAATTTTCTTTCATAGGAAGCTGAGCAGAGGAGGTCTTGTTTCTCTCCTATGAAAGGCACTTGTAAGCCTTGTCGCTTGTGCAAAATTGTATCTTCAGTATTAAAATACAAAAAGTACTCTCTCTCTACAACAGCTTCTTAGGAAAATCAACTGAATAAAAATATTTTGTTTAAAGACCCAAACGGCTAAAAATATACATCCTACCACAGACTACTGCAAGTTTGCTACACATTATTTTCAATCCACATACGAAGGCTGCACAATACCAGGGAAGGACTGACGGCGGGAAATGATGTAGATCTGAAGAAGACGCCTGGATGATGCCAGAATGGCGAGGACGTCTGCGAGGAGACAAGAGTACAAGGACCTGTCTACAGCTCGTCCTTGGCTTGGTCTCCTTCCTCTTCCTCCTCCTCCTCTTCATCAAACTCTTCATCCTGGGGGAAAGCAGTGGGGGGGGGGAAATATAAACCACAACTGCTACTTTATGCAGTACTGATTGCAAACACTTGAGGTCCATTAACGTTCATCAAGGGAAACGAAAACGGTGTTTGATTCATTTATTTTCATTTTATTTTACCAGGGTAGCCCCATCAGTTATCAAGGAACTATTCTCCCTGGGTGCCCTGGGTTACATCTCAAGTCATCCTACAGATAACACATTTGTACTATCAACTTGTTTTTTTTTTTTTTTTGTATTGACGTTAGTTTAGGCTTAGGGTTTGGTACACAGGAGTGCCAATTATCCTCAGCACAGCATTGTAGTAAATGCCCGAAGCATGGTCTTGCTTCAGGGTGTTAATTAGTATGCTGTAATTTACAGTAATAATATCCTTATTAACAACTTTACTTCAGACATACACCAATGTGTTTACGGTCTGTCCAAGGAAGTGTGAACATTTTAAGGCCATGACCCAACCTTCCACTGGTACAGATGAAACTAACAGGAACAGTCGTTGACAGAATTTGGCATCAGAGAGATTCATACTGTTGATTTGGTCTTTTTTGGTCTCCTTTTGACATTTTAAACAAGGTATTTGACTGATGCACTTAGGTTTTTTTTAAGGGAATTCAGAATAAATGTTTTTCTTACATCCTCTGGGCCTGCACCATCAACTCCTCCCGACTCCAGGAACTTGGAGAGATCTTCCAGCGTTCTACCCCCATTGTAATCAACCACCTGCCAAAACGAAAAAATTCCAAATACTTCAAATGGTCCTAGTGTAACATTTCAATTTTTTGGGTTACAAACCCAGGTCTTTACAACAAGGGTCATGGAAACATGTCGGCGCAAACAGATCAAATAAATGGTGCATATGATAATGTCCAGGCATTATTAAAAGCATACTAAAATACTGTAAAAACTGACAATTGTGCGCTCTGGTACAGGTTCATGTACATGTGGCCTGGGATGCGCGGATTCATTTCTGTTTGCATTAATTTCTTTTTTCATTTTTTTGGGTCACTGAGACCAATATGTTCTTGAAAATCTACATCGATGCCGTGCCTTGATCTTTAATGAGGGTCTGAAATTTTCTATCATGAGGTTGACAGGTGTCCGAAGTGTCCCCTGTGATCTTTTTTACCGTAAAAAATGTACAGGACATCCCAATAACAATTGGGTTTCCAGAAGCCAAGGGTTGGATGACCCCGTTCAAAGAGACTTTACTCTGGATATTTATGGGAGGGGGGGAGGGGAAGGGATTCCCCATACCGCTCACCTCATTGGTCTCTTTCCTGAAAAATTTTAACGTGGGGAAGCCGCCAATTGAAACCCCTTCAACTTCATTGGCTGTGGAGTCCATCTTGGCGATAACGAGGTCCTCACGGTCAGCAAACTTTTTGCCCAGTTCATAGTAGATAGGGGCCAGCTTCTTGCAATGGCCACACCATGGTGCATCTGTACGGTAGGTAAGAGCAATGAAGTGTGTCTTGAGACGACACTGGATGATGCTGCGACACTGTACGATGTGAACCTTGACCTCATTCAATAGCACATTATGTATGCTGGCATCGACACATACAGCACACCGCCATTGACGGCATGCATCAAGAAGTATGCACAGTGTTACACTACTGACTGTGGCCTTGTTCAGCCAAGACAGCCTATAAGCAATATCCCAACAAAGTTTTTGTACTTGTTTATCTTTTCATAAAGTACTATTAAGTACTACTAAATAGTAATAAATTTTCTGGCAAATCTGTCAGGCTGTGTTTGCGTGTGCTGGTTTGTCTGTAGTTTGTTCCTTAGGGTGACTTACTAGGAACCTTCCTCATCTTGGGAATCTCAACCCCACATACTAAACAGTGTACATATGCAGATGGATTATTTGTGGCATAAAACATAGTCAGTTTATATTTTGTGTTCCAGTGCTACGATGAACTATAGAAATGACAACTTGTGAAGCTAGAGAAGTGTAGCAGGTGTCATGATGTAGCTACTGATTTGTGTAGCAGGTGTCATGATGTAGCTACTGATTTGTGTAGCAGGTGTCATGATGTAGCTATTGATTTGTGTAGCAGGTGGCAAGGTGTACAGACTGTTTCAGCCAGGGCCTTGATTCACCATCAGGTGCACCCTGCGGCACAGAGCTCCACCCTCAACAGGAATCATTTCCATATATCAAGTCAACGTACTAATGCAGTGCTCACCCTAACAGATTCCAACAAAGCCTGGTTCGGGGTTTTTTGCTGGTTGGGATTCTTAGGGTAACCCTAACCCTCCTCAATCCTCCAAAATCCTTCGGACGGTTTGGAGGATTTTGGAGGATTGAGGATGAATGGCAAATGTGCATGGCTGATTGCAAAGGATGCAATGAGTGAAGGTCGTTGGTTAGACCTTGTGTTGTTCTTGCTCAGTCATGCATAAATTCAGCTTTTGAATCAACAGCACTGCTCAAGAATACCATTTGCACTGCCTCAACAATATGACAGGAATTGCCAGATGATTTTAAAGGATTGAGGCAGTAGGCACACCTCAAGTAACATTTTCAAGAAATTTTGGAAAATTTCGGAGGATTGAGGGAGAATCAAATTTTGTCAACCCCCAAATTGAAGGATTCTGGAGGGTTGAGGAGTGTCCCTAGCAAAAAGGGCCTAGGGGGTTAGGGTTAATTCGTGTGTCACTGACAAATTTCAATCAGATAATACCACTGAGTAGCACACACTTACAGAACTCAACCAATACGTCCTTGGTCTTGTCGTAGACAACATCAGCAAAGTTTTTGCCGACGAGGACCTTGACTGGCTCCTTGTCCCAGTCCTCTGGGATTTCCTCCGATTTGAGGTGAGGCTGGATACAAAATAAAAAAAGGAAACCCGTCAAACAAATTGTCTGCTTATTACACTTACATACAACTGAACAGCTAAAAATGAAAATTCTTTCATGAACCAAAGAAACATTGAACACTGGTCAACTGTCTCAAAATCTGTGACACGTCTCATGTCACGCTGGAAAAAAATGTACAACAAAAGAATGAGCTTATATTTAGTACAAGATTGAGACTTTACAAATAGACTAAAATGTTGAGAAGACTTGCAGAAAAAGTTCCACACACAGATATCACTTGACACCTTGTGCAAAAATCCTATGAAATTGTTCTGAAAATTCCAAGAATTTTCTAAGTAAATGCTTTGGTATTGTCCCTGCTAAATTGACAATTTAGGACATGTTATCACTTTCTGACGGCTGATAAAACACTGTCGGGAAAAAATGAGTGACGTCCATATATGGAACTCTTACACGACTCTGCAGCAGAACATAAGAAGTTTTTCCACTAATCATGTTCCAACAGCTACATCCTTGGGTATTCAGTATCTTCCCCACAGAGAACCCTAAGCAACCAAGAAATCCCTCAAGAAATGCCAGCTCACCTTAAGTTTGCCCTCCTTGTAGTCATCTACAAACTTCTTGATAGTTTCTACGGTCATGTCTGTTGATTCTGGCATGTACTTCTTCATGTCATCGGACAGGACAATAATCCTCATGGTGGGAAGGCTGTCTTTAGCGATGGCAAAGAATTCTGTGATGCGGGCATTTGTCTCCACATCGGTGTTGATCAGAACAAAAAGCATCTGTGGGGAAAACATACATCAGACATTGCTGGCATGAGTCATTTCTGTCGCAGTCATACTTGTTCACTGCATTATGCTTTGATTTTTATTGTATTCTCTCGAAGTGGAACACCTATAGTAAATAGAACGGTCCCGTTATGTACCAATTCAGCCTGACCAATAAATTTTTAGCTAAAGCAGAGTCTTAGCCAGTGTAAAAATCCCCAATCACCATAGGTTGCTCAGGACGCGATTAAGTGGTCCGTTCGTAGTTGCAACAGGCTTACCTAATTTCTACCCGGCCCCTGGGGATTGTTTAACTAAATTTACATTTTTTTTTGTATTTACAACCATCGTTTTCTTCACTTTGTTTATACTCATGAATTTTTTGGTAGACTTCAATCTTGGAAAGTGTGTGAGTGTGTGTGAGAACGAATTTTAATATTCAATTACCTGTGCAGACTTGTGTTCCACACAGAAAATACATGCACAAGAGTGACTGTGGGCATTAATGCATATTTGTGCTGTTAAACCAGAGGAGGCTTAAAGAAATGAATTTAACAATTATCCATAAATAAGTATTGCTCTCGCAAATCTGGTAAAAAAGTAAAGTTAATAAGTTGTAAGTAATCTATCACTGCAAATTTAAGGGTGCATCGACAAATTATTTATCCGACTTGAACTCCATTATACAAAGTGTACATAACCTGAAATTGGAAATGTACAGGCTGGAATTTTACAGACTGGTCTCGTGCCAATTTTTCAGTTATCTGAGATAGATCTTTAGAGAAGTGGTGACAATCCCGGGCTTTCAGAATGTGTCTTAGAGGGGACATCAAGAAAAGATCTGTTGAATGCTTTGGAGATCAAGCACCTTCACACTCTTTTGGAACAAATAAACGATGATTTTAGAAACCCCCAAGAGCAAACAATGATAAAAAAAAGTCCTGGCAAAATGGAAAGACATTACCTCTCCTTTGTTCTCCTTGGCAACTTCACCAAAAGCTGAGTGGACTTCTGCAAATTTCTCATCCTCCTTGCCCATGAAGAGCAGGTTGTGTACCTTCACGTCCCCACCAAAGATTTTGGGTGCACTCTGTCCAGGCACAGCAGAAATATTAGCATTAAACCATGAGATACACACCAGCCAAGCTACACAACACGCTCAAAATATCCTGCTACTAAATTCTGATTAAACCTACTGGCTTGTGCATTCTGTAATAGGTTGGCAAAATGTCACAGACTGTCAAGAGAATCCAATTTGCAAGAGTATCTGCCTTGAGCAGAACCACTCTTTCCTTGGCTAAAAAAAGAGCCATGCTGGTGGGGCATCCGTCACATATGCATTTTTAGTCGTTCGTGAACCAGCGAAGTTCAGTTCCGACCAAAGAAGCCTCCATTGCGAAGAAAACTGTACCCTCTTTCAGTCCAGCTCAGGGCTTTTTACCTCCTTGCAATGCAAATTAAAGTCACATTGAGGAAACAGTTGTGAGAGTAATAAATCATCAAAATTCCCTGATGTCTAATACCTACAGTTGATTTCATTGGTTCTTTTCCTGCACAGTGGAATAAAACCGTTTCATGTACTCTCAACAGACCATTTACTTAAAAAGATCATATCCCACATGACTGTGTACATCATCTGCAATGCGATGTGTAATTAACATGCATGTGTACCTTTGTATTATCTGAGACGGTCCAATTTGCCACTGTTTTCATTAAGTGACAGAAGTCTATCTGGAGAGTGAAATCCAGGTTCTCAGAAAATCGCATTTAAAGTTGGTCTCTTTTGCAAATGATCATTTCCCCAAGACTTGACTTTCCCTTGACAACAAAAACTGGATTTTGCCCACAGTTTTGCCCATTCATGGTAACGTTATATCTATGGAGGACTACTATCTCTCTTCGTGAAAACAGTAAATGTGTATTAAGTTGCATTTTTCCCATGGAGATCATCGTGATTTGGCTGATTTGAGTAGATTTGATAAAAAATGATTACACCACTTTGTTGGCAGCAGTTAACCATGACGATTTTGCTAAAAAAAAAAAACCACAGAAATTTAAGAAAGATTACAATTTGGGGCACTTTTGTCTCTCCGTGAAAACGGCGATGAATTGCCTGGTATTGGCACAAGACACTGCAGGAAAGATGCACTGTCAGGCAGACAGCCGTGTGTGTGGGGTACCATACAATACTCCAAAACATCGTATAAAAGCCTACAGACCACTACAATGGATTTTGGGGGATGAGGAGATTTGCATTCACAAAGAGGGGAGGAAACTTACCTCATCGGTGAATTCAATGACAAGGGGCAGACGGTTGTTCAACACGAATGTCTTGATATTTTCTGCAGTCATTTCACCCTCAAAGTTATCACGCTTGTTATCAAACTGAAAGGAAAAACATGTTTACAATCGAAGGTAGGTCGCACAACTAAATCTCAAATCACTGATGGAAACAATGGCACATTATAGAGGGGGCTACAGTGAACAGGCAGCACCAATGGATAGATGCTCAGGAGCAATAAACAGGAAAACTGAGTAGGTTGAAACAGCCGGTAGGTGACCACAACTGACAGGCAGCTAGAGCAGCAGCATGCCTCTCAAATACAGAAAAATATTTACTCCACTTTTGATTACTTTTCTGGCAATTACTTGTTTTCAAGGGACCTGACATTAACACAGACGGTGTGGAATGTGCCTGAACAGAAAAAAACCCCAAAAAACTTATTTCTGAAAATGATGAATGTGACCTAGGAAAAGCCCTGATCTATTATGGCAGACAATAATGAAGTTTACACCCCACGCCTAGTCATCTTTCTCATCAACATAGGATTCTCTCTGCATTAATTCTGATGAGATAAAAGCATGCAACACACAAGTGAGGATCTTCAGGTCTACCTTCTTCATCAAGACGATGCTGTTATCACTCGTCTCGTACTTCTTGAAGACGTCCTCTGAAGACGAGATGCCAAAGATGACGTCATCCATCCCCGAGGCCACCTCCAGGAATGCCTTGGCCTTGTCCGACTCCTTGTCCTTGAAGAAGCCAAAGACCACCACCTCGTTGTCTGCTTCCAGTTTCTCTGCCTCCTCCACTGTCTCAACGGCTTTGGCAGGGGGGCCGGTCTTCTTGTTGAGCCACGTGATGATCTCTTCTGAGGTTCGTCCGCCTACCCCCCGAGAAAAATCAAAATATGGCTTATCAAATTCTGGGAGCATCAACCTGTATTTTGGAAATTTACAGCAAAAAGCCTTTATGACCAAAACAAAGTCTCTGAGTCACTGAACAAAATATTTCAAAGTGTCTTTACTATTATCGTTCTTGGTACAACACACTTCAATATTATCAAAACTAGACCAAAGGATTATGATGAACCCTAATTGCACTGAAGAAGCACCTCAAGTACGTTGAGCATTAAAACCCTCCTATGCTGAAGTCACTCTTGGGGTCACTTGGTGAACACCTCAAAGCAGCACAGCTGTGTTGTGTTGTGCACTGCACCAACAGTCCCTCACAGGAATATCAGATTGCACTTTTGTGCTGCCCAACAAACTGTGCTTCACTGTTTCATGTGCATAATTGTGCAGTAAACGAAATGCAGTGAAGAGGTCTGCACAAAAGACCCCGTGTCATTTTGTGCTGGCAACCTACTGTGTACACACTGAACCTGTACATGTTTGTGTTCCATGTAGAAAATACATGCACGAGAGTGACTGTTGGGCACTTGTGCATATTTGTGCTGTAAAACCAAAGGAAGGTTAAGAATATTTGGGAGTCATTCCACACTTCTCCACCTACAGTGCATCCTGCTTCAAAGAGAATCCCACGTGTTGTATACGTACATGAAAGAATTGCCTATTACGTGTTCATAAGTGTGAGTGGGACAATAACTTGACCTTTGGGCAAACCTGAGCCACACCTGCCACTTGTGAATTCAGTGGATTGTGCGGCTCTTTATCATCTTGCTTACCCCTGAAATAACGCAACATGCAAAGTTTGATATGGGCCGTGGTATATACATATTAGACAGGCCGTTTTCCAATACTCATCTTCGTCTCCATCTCGAGCTTCGTGTAGGAAACAATCCCCAATTGTGGGCCTGAAGCATTTAAATTAAATTGAAATACTGTAATGTGTTGCTCTTTTGCATCTTACTTGATGTTTTGTGGCACTATCAGACTTACTATTGCACTTACAATCTCAAAGTCAGGAAGTAAAAAAACAGTTGAAGCCTGAGACAGAGCCCAAGTCGAGTATTGGAAAATGGCCAGTCTGGCACTCTAGTTTGCTTAAAGGCAAAATATTCAGACCCTACACCTGGCAGCAATCATGTTTCCATTGCATGTGGCAAAGAATGAAAGGAAATATCCGTAGCTGTAATTAAAAAAAACTTTCAGAGTCCTGCATCTTACCGCTGTAGTCAATGACCTGGCCATTCTTGAAGAACTTGATGGTGGGATAGCCGCGCACTTGGTACGTTTTGGCTACTTCGGCCTGTTCCGTAGCATCCACCTTGGCCAACTTGATGTCAGGGTTGGATTCCTTGAGAGAGGTGGCTGCCTTGGCATATTCTGGTGCCAGTGCTTTGCAGTGGCCACACCAGGGGGCATCTGGAAGTATTACAAGGAATACAAAAAAAAGTTACATAGGTGTTCTTGCTTGGAACTTTTAGAAACTGGATGCACCCCACTCTTCCATTATTTCTTGGAATGAATTTCCCTGTGGCACTTCAAGGTTTGCAACGTTCCTGAGAAACTCAATTCAAAAACATATTTGATGGAATATATCCAGTGACAAAATACAGAATCAATAAGGGACATCTCATTAAGCCAAGTTAAAAAACAGTGTGTTCCAGACCTGCAGTATAAACACTTCAAATGTTTGAAGGCAATAAACTGCCTCAACATGGCCAGAGACACACAATATTCAACACAAAACTCATAGACTTTCAGACTTTGATCAACTATGATTAGAACTTTTGGGTTTAGGTAACAAGTGAGGGGATATTTCACATGATACAGGTCATGTTGACAAGCCAACAGACTGGTGTGCAGACGTGCAAACTCCAACAACTGTGCAGTTTCACTTTACCACGCTGTATGTAAATTACAAGCACCTGAGCTACTTTCTGAATGCACTGCCCACTCACTGTATGAAATGTCTGCATCTATTGCCATTTATGATTATAATTCAATCACTTCTGGGCCAGGAGAATAATTGTGGCAGGCTACATACATGTACGGGTAGCACTGAAACTAGTCAGAAATACAGGTCATACAGATATTTTCAGAAACACTTCCATGAAAACCTTTTTTTTTATGAAAACACAATATCCACTCAAAAAACCCAACACACACACTAAGTTTTTCATGGAAGTATTTCTGGAAATACATGTATCTCTGTCATCAATGCTTAACCCTTGGAGGACTGAGGACTTTTCAGGTTGATAGAAAGAATATACATGTACATGTACTATTGCTCTATTCCACTTCTGCCCAGTAATGACAAACTCTTCCTGAGTAAACGCCAAATGGGAACAATATGTGTCTGTTTCTTGTCACAATAACTACAGTATCAGCCTACGCCGACAACTTTATTGGTTGTATTTCACAGCTTTACATACAAAGCATACTTTTGCACGTGCTTACAATTGCTTCCTCAATTTTAATCACTTTTTGCTGAAATGATCGATAGGCTTGGTACAACTAATTAGCCACAGGCATTAAGTGCTATTGCAACAGAGCCATTAAACAAATGCTGCTGTATGGAAATTATGAGATCCATCCCAATTCATCGGGAATATTTCACTGGAAAAAAAAAGCATTCAAGGCATTTTCTTCACCCGATTCCAAATATTTTCATTTCTCAGAGTAACACTGACATCATTCCAACACGCCACCGTGACTAATTTGCCTGGTTTGAAAAATTCATTACTTCGGCTCTCACGCTGAAAAGTCTAATTACTCATAAAACAAGGTAAGACTGATAACGCAATCACACAATGTCAGTCATGGTTCACAGGCCCTATGAGAAACAGGACATATGGACACAAGCACGGCCTTAGAGATGAAGACGTTATCAATATCAGATAACCAGCATACTGTGCCAGTGTATCGGCACACAATTCATTATGAATGAACAGCCTGGATATCCTACCCGCATAAAAGACACTTATTATCCCTAAAGCTGACGTGGCTTTACACCACAGAGCCGTCTGTGAATCGGGGGGGGGGAGGGGAGGAGGGGACTACTGGACAGCATTATTTGTATTGTTTGCTGAACCCTTTTTTTCTTTCATTCTGACACAAATTTCTGGGTTAATTTTGCTTGAATTAACAGACTTTTCATGGGGTAAGATAACATTCATAGTAATTGCCACGTGTACCACCTGTAGATCACACGGTGTATATTTCATAATATCATCCGCTCCTTGACCATATGGCACACTGTGAGAAAGGAGAAAATTCCTAAATGATAATTGGACAAAAAAACTGATAACATTTGTTTGAAAACTCCAAAATAAAAACTGCAATTCTGATGTACACTGTAATTTTTGTTTACTGTATACATGTGGTATACACTTCCTTCCATACAGCTCTCTATTCACAAGACACGACAGCTAAAGATTACACGTGGCTCAGAAGGAAATGCATTCTTCCTCTGTGTAGTGACTAATAAGGTCATTCCATATTGAGACCTGGGGCCAATTTCACAGAGCTGCTTAAGCACAACATTTTGCTTAAGCGCGAGAAAACCTTGCTTGATAAATCAGGTAACCAGCCAAAGCACCATGTGATGCATATTGTATCGTATTTAGCTGTCTTTTGGTTAGCAAGACAATCAGATACAGTTTGAGCTGGTAACCTTTGTTTTTTTTTTAAGGTAGGTTGTTCACACTCAAGCAAATTTTGTGCTTAAGCAGCTCTATGAAATTTGCCCGTTCTTTGAGCACTATACTCTGCTTTCTGTTCAAGTGTTCAAATGGTTTATAAAGAACTTTGGACCCCAACTGTCTTAATTAAGGTTCTCATAATTCCATATTTGGTTTGACTGATTTTGCGTGTTCACTATATGCATGTTCCTCAAAGCTACATGTACCTGTGTTTCACATAGAAACTGCTTCCAACGATGTTATAAGCACACGTACGAGCTTGAAACATTCTAAACTGATTAACTCCAGACTGTTCGATTACGGTAGATTTAGCAGATTACTGGCACATTACTCCAATGCACTGCAGTTTTAAATAACTCCTCTGTTTATGTTACATAACCAGAATACTCATACTTCAAGCCATTATAGTTGGAAGAATAAATCGACCATACCATGCACTACGATACGATGTATTACAAAAAATACGGCAGGTTGTGTTGCGCAAATTTTGTATTAAGCCTCCTTCAGCTTTATTTCAAAAATATTGCACAGAGTTTTCAAATTTCAGCGCAACATATGGTACATGTATCGTCTTTGCAAGTGGGCAAGTGGCATACTGTACAGACTTATGCCACGTGCTTCATGAACCGTTGATCACGGGAGTGATTAAAAGAAGCGCAGTTTAAAGCGTTTGACATTTGATTGGCACCACTTCAAAAAAAGGGTACATTCGCGTACAATGAACTAGTTCAGTATTCCAATGGCACATGCTCAGAACAAGACTATTTGAGTACAGCTACGCCTGCACGTGATAGTCTGTCCTATCAGCTTAGCCATACACTGACTCGCACGTGTACTTTGTTCCCGAAAGACCTTGGCTTTTTGAAATTACAAAGTGGTTTGTTCAGATTTTGCTTTCCACAAACTTTGCTGGTTACGGTAATAAGACGGTTAAGTTTACTCTCGTGCATTTTTTTTTTTTTACCAAACTTTGCTGAGGATGTTTTCCTCTAAAATGACTTTCAGACAAACAATCTGTAGACAACAAGCTGCTCAGCAATTGATTTACCTGAAATTTTCAACATAAAGATGTTTGCTTCTTCACAAGGTTGTCTCCAGCTTCCAAATAAATTTCAAGAAAAATGCTGCTGGGATCCAACACTGTCAGGCCCTCCTAACTTGTAAAATGTGACAAATGGATCTGTTGGTACAGTATATACCCAACCACTTCCCAGCACTAGAATGTCTTGCACTGTCGTTTCCTTCCAAAACAATCAGGAATCATTATACATACTTGTATGCATAGTCGTCCATGTTTGAAACAATGCATACCAAGTTACTGACCCACAAACCAGAAAAATGCCATAAACCCTCTCTCTATTAGCTTTTCCCTACATGTACAAGCCTTACTGGATTCTACCAAATCCTCCACTATGCAAGAAACCAATGATACAACTGTTAACACTCTACCTCAACTCGGACAAAGCCACAAGCAAAAATGTACAACTGTACATGTAACATGTACCTGTATGTTATTACATGAAACTGAACTAAGCTTCACTACCCCCAATCCCAATTCTATCCCCAATTTTCCAAAATGCCCCAGTGGATTCTGGAGGATAATGCTTGCACAATTAACTTTTTAACAGAGTCCCCGAGCAGGGTTTCGGTTGGGATTTCAAGTAGCTGTCTGCCCGCCCTTTCTGGTGAAGGATGCATATTACCATATACCTGTCCACTCCCAACCAGTGACACTAGTTAAGACCCCTTAACCCTCCTTTTGCTGTCACTATCCGAACAGTCAATAATTCCTTCTACATGTACTTCTCCCTGTACAGTACATAGACATCATGTCACTTGACTGATTTTGACTGATAGGACTACTGTCACGAATGCATCTTTACACAGAAGGGTTAATAGTTAAGTCTATCACAAGATCAACATAAGATCTCCAGTCTGAATTCAAGTCACAAGTAAACTACAACAAATGTATTCATTTGTCAATGTTCGTCTTGTTACTTGTGACTGATCTTGTGACTAGTCTTAAGGTCTTGACTACAACATGAATCCAAATGAATCTTGAAAATGGTATCCACTTTCAGTCTTTTGAGGTCCAAATTTGCATCCAATGTTTTGGGAAGATACATGTATATGCTAAGATTTACTCACCAATAGAGTGTAATTTTTTGTTCCTTTTGTACAAAGAAAATTGCTTTATCCAAAGATGGTATTGCTTATCCCTAAGACAGGTGGACAGATTTTTTGCAAAGCTCAGGCCGAAAGACATAAATTTACATACTCATGCATGGTCGGCATGACGTCCCATTGGCCGGAGTGTTTTGCAGCATGATGGTAAGGCAAAGGGGAAATACCCTTTGGGCTCCGTGCAGAGAGTGCTTTGCACATGTAATGAAGTACTCATATAGGAAAGAATGTCGCATTAATGTTTGCATATTCCTCTCAATATAGATCTGTTATTGTAGAAATGCTACAAAATCATCGGTCATGAATCTGGTAGGCGTACTGACAAAAAACTTCAAATTTGGTAAGGAAAAACTTAAACAATCAGGCCTATCTTGACTCCCTACAGATTTTATACACAACCACGAAAGTGCTCAGCATGCAACATTCTCCAACGCCCCCCTCAAATATCAAAATCTTGCATGGCCATTTCTGACATCGTTGGTCTGATATGGAACGTAAGGGTGGAGATGGCAAACATAATGCTAAGTTTGAATATACAAAAGCACAACTGGATGTAGTGAGACTCTGGAATTGTCGAGCAACGGAAATACCGTATGTTGCGTGTTCTCAGTTGATTATTAGTGAAATCTCATCACATACTTTTTACAACCATTGCGTGATGGGGATGGTTGCAGGGCCATTGTAATTTTATAGCATGTGCCAAGCGTCGGAGCGGCACCAGTGCCGCGGCAGCACAACTTATTATCCATATTTCGTTTTGCTTTTTTATTATGTTTTCTTGCGTGCATTCCATGCGCTACCAATGTCATGCCATATTAAAACATCCGAACCGACCAGTTTGGTTCAGTTCGAAAGTGCAATGTCCGACGATTTTGGTTTGGTTTGGCAGTTCGGCTGCTGTACTACTCTAATGTACGGAGTACAAGTTGTCCTGGGTACGAGTGGTCCTCCTAGGTATGAGTTGACGTGGGTACGAGATGACGTGGGTACGAGTTGACCTGGGCGGGAGTTTGGAGGTACGAGTTGACCAGGGAACAAGTTGTCCCGGGTACAAGTTGACCTGGTTCCCATCTATTATCTAGTCTAAGAATAAGTGCAGCCATGCATGTCAGTGATCATTCATGGTAGGCATAATCAATCATTTTAGGATCAATTGAATAATTTTCGCATTGAATCCAACAACTTGACCCAGTATACACGGTATATGATATCACGGTTTCACATGCTGAAGATGGCATTAATCTGTTAATTAATGGCGGCATTTGTACACATGGCAAATTGACAGTTATCCTAAGCAAAGCATAACATATAGGCCAAGCTATATAGCAGATATCGCATACAACATAACATGCAGGATTCCACTTACAAAATTCAACCAGCACATAAGCATTTTCGCCAACATAGTCAGCCAAAGTCCCGTCCGTCAGAACGACAACATCCCCATCCATCTCAACATCTACAGCAAGAACAGTGGCCGCCAAAACGGCGAAAATTACCGCAAAACCCTTCATTTTAGGCACGATTTAAAGACCAAGTAGACGACGACAGGCAGACACGGTGCTTAGCAAACGTGGCAAAGAGGACCTACATTATGTGGGCATGCGTAATATACGACCTGCCTCCATCCGTGTGGATACGTGATTGGTTAAAAGTGAACTATGACCCGGTCGTGTCCTTTATTGACTGGCTGATCGGCGTCTTCTAACACGTAAAAGCAACCACGCGGCAAAATAGACACATTTTAATTAATGGAACAATTTCTCACTCTCTAAAACATCTATTTAGAAAAAAGTGATTATTTGAGGAAATTTCCATTACGGGCTTGTAAACATCAACTTCACAATGAACAAAATATTAGTTTGTTTAATTTTTAAAAGACTTTCATGCTGCAATGTAAATCTCTTACAAACAGGATTCCCAATATTTTTTTAGCAACCTTAAACTGGCAGAAACTTTTTCATTTAGTTATGAAATTATGAATGCAATGTTTCTGATCTCCAGTAGCTCGAGTAAATTATAAAAATGCTATCATAAAACAAGAAATTATTTCTTTAGACATAAGGGCTCTGGAGGTTGACTGTTTTATTCCAAGTAAACCATGCATATGGGCAAAATGCAATAACCACTTACAATATGCTGCTATTAACTTTACACTAAATGGCAAAGTGATACAAAGTCTACCGTTCATCTTATGACTGTCGTTACAATAGTGTACAGGTGCATTTTTTAATCATACTTTCAAAGGAAGACATTTTTCTTAATAAAACACTTGCCATTAAAGACAAAGCTTCACGCTGTATACTTTTAGAACCATATTTCCTACATATGCAGATGTAGTATGGTCAAATAATGTTTAAAACCTAAACATTTCGCACAGATAAACATGTACCTACATAGCACCATGTTCTAGAGCTTTCTTGTAATGATTGTGGCAAGATTACTGCTGAAACAAAATAATTTTAAATGCTGCTTTTTTCAAAATAATTTTCTGGTTTATCAAATAGTTTTCATAATTCAGGCAAGAACACTTCTAATACTGTTTACTTTCAAAACATCTACTTCCAGCAACAGGCCGTTTTGTTTAGAAGATGGCGGAAAAAATATGGCTTTTCTTGTACAAAACGCTCACACAATCATTAACAATGACATCAGAAAAGGCAAAGTGTTGCTTGTAATCAGCCTAAAATAAAAGCATCCTTTTTGTAAAGTGGATTATTTTCTTCCAGATCACAATCTGAAAAATACCTGTGGCCAAGAAAAGTGAGACAATAATTTTCTTAAATCCTAACTCAGCCATTTTTGTGCAAACCATCATGCAAACTGAAATCTTATCGAACAAAGATTATCAGTTATTATCTGAAAACCAGTTAATTGTTTAGCAATGTGCAAAGCAAACAGAGCATGTGTTGATTCTTTTATCCTTTTTTGTTCTGTTACTGATAATGTCGTAAATGACAAGCATTAACTTCATGGAAAATATTTTGATAACAATTTTGAAATGGCACTTAAGGAGTGTAAAAGGATAGTCTTAATTCAAGCAGCCACCTTCACTTTTCACACAAGTCTTACATTTACTTTTTTTAAACTCTCAAAGCACAAACACCAGACAACTCAATCAAACCTTGACAGACCATAGCCCTCATCTTGAAAAGAGTCTACATTATATCCTTCTGGAAAGCCAAATTCAGCCATTTCAGACAAACTACATTATTTCATACACTGCTTCATTTTTACACCACAAAGCTGTAAGACACTGGAGGAAATATTCTGTGCTCTTCTCCTCTTCACATCGGCAGACTGACTGGCATTATTAAACTGTTTAATAAAACATTATTAGTTCACAATGGTAATATGTAGGTAAAATGGCGAAATAAAAAATTTATCATTGTTCCATCGCTACAACTTGAAAATAAGGAAATAGTCACCTTAATGAATTCCAGACAGAAATTAATTTGATTTCAGCACAAAATGTATAGTAGTTTGAGGGTAGTTTACAAAATGATAATTATGCTGTTGACTGGGAAGTTAGTTTCAATACAGCAAAATGCACTGAAATATATTACATTTGTATTTTTAAATTCTATATCAGTAATAGATTTGGTCAAATTTGTATCAAATTCAAATTCTCTAATCTTGATCTGCCACGTATACTCTGGAATCTAATATCATCCTCATTTCAATATTCTACCTTCAAAAAATCAAAAATTAAAAAACTGCTTTACTGAAAGCAACACCAAACATCAAAACAATATGAAACTTACATAAATATTAACCTAACTCTTTTTTTAACCATATCATTTTTTTTCTACATTATCTTTTTTGCTGGTACCCTCTTTCAGAAGCCTGTATTATAAAAGGTAATGAAGTTGCATCTGCATATAATTATATGCATTTCTTGTGTGCACACATTCGTTTTTAATTTTTTAGTTAACTAAATTTCTACTATGTACCGACTGGCACAGCAAAGAAACTCTGCCTACTCAAACAGTGCACTGAGGGTAAAATCAATGCATGCGCCACTTTACCCATGTTAGCGTTGCATATCTAAAGTGGGCTCTCCTTTGTTTCTGTGCAGTGTGGAAGCTCGATAAAAAACCTAATTTTCTGGCACTGTGCATACTCCTTTAAGCTGGATTTCTGGGGATGGCTTCCTTTATTGTTTCTATTTCTAAACCTAAAATACCTCTAAACCTCTAATTTCAAGGGGTACCTTGTGTGGACGTAGGTAAGTCCTCTTCACTTCGTCACTTGTGTGGACATCTTTTGTTCCCAGGTCCACACAAGGCATGGCACCCTTACACGCCTCAACTGAACACAGATGATTTTCATAAGTAATGCTGAGCATGTGTACATGACCAAGTCGTGTATGCATGGTCAGAATTTGCAAGAACAAGCCTATGCCTTTTCCACTAGACACGCCCAACCGTGGAGTGTTTGGACACACAACACACATATGCATTAAACAAACTACTTCCAACTGCTCGTTTACAGAGTACCGAAGTGAATACGTCACGTGCACAATTAGTGTGTAAAAGGCATTGAGCTTGTGAACCAGTGCGTGAACCAACACGCGCGCGTTTTCCATCCGTTTGCGCTGCACTTTCTGGTTCACGGTGACGTCACACTTAGGTACTCTATACTGTTTGTGCTTATCAAAACATAAAAAAAAACCTTTCCTTTATGATAAGACAAAGTGGAGTAAATTGTTCACAACTAAATCCAGTCAGATCATCAACATTGCAAGTTAATGTTTTAAAATCAAAAGGAATATTCCGTATTTGGTTTTTTTTCCCAACTACTGCTATTATTTTGGGTGAAATAATTCCATCTAATGTAACTTCCAAGCATTTCATCTACACAAAAGTTTTTCAAAATTAAACATCTTTGTAACTGCATAAATATATATATATAAATGTCTCCAAATGTGGAGCAGGCATTACTCAATCTAAGGTCATTTTTTTTCAAATTTTAAAAAGTGTTATAGGTCCTTCTTCAGTAACAATATCAGTTTTGGCAACTTTAATCAAGGAAGATGTGAATGTACATGTAAGTAACTCTCTGGCATACTTTGTTGGTGAGACAAAGTACTGTAAAATGGCACAATAGATTAAAAACACCAAAAGGACAGGTAAATGCGTATATAAAGGGTTGGGTACATGTGCGATTTCGCCTTTTCTGAACTTGATACAAAAGGCAAGCAATTTTGGCTACAAATAGAAACAAACAAAAACCCTCAAAAATATGTTACAAATGTTCACCGATGTGGAACATCTAGATGTGTAAGTACACGTATGTTCACCTGAAATTGCAAACGGACTTAAATAAAAAAAGTAAGTACCTGTTTTTGTTCACAAAAACAACATCAAAATGTCGGCATTGAGAAATTATTCTAATACCACAGATGTAATGCCCATCATGATAAAACCATGCATGTGTCTTTAGGGAGCCAGACAAAGACATGTATTTGCCACAGTGCGAAACAGTTCTCTCTTTGATGCTACAGTAACATTGATAATTTTCCCTTTAATATTCAACATTTTTCTGCATCTTTTTATAGCTTTAATGTACACGTATATGCTGCATTCATTATCCATGTCTGTAATATTCTCACTGGCAAACGGCAAGCAGGGCAGTACCGTGTCGGAAGACGCTCTATGCATTTACGCCTAAGGCTTCAGAACACAGCTGGTTTGGCCAGCAGAATCCAGTGCTCGCAGGCTGCTTAGTAGGCAAGTGTCTAGGTACAAATGATTGAGCCTGTGGCTACAGAATTTAGGCTATGCCCCAAATGGGTTTTCAGAGTTACGGCTATGTCTACAGTCAGTCCGTCTCCACATATTTTCAGTGGAGGGAAGACCCAGACCTAGCTCTAGACACATTCAGAGGCAGTGTTAGTAGCTTCCTCTTAAGAAATACAGTAACCCCTGGTAATATGACATAAATGCATTAGGCTGCTACAAATAAGCACTTCATCCCTACAGATTGTGTTCCACCCAGGCTAAGATGTGCACTCGCCTGCAGCAGCAAAATGAATTGGTCCACAGCTGCAGGATGAATTAACCTCTGGCTGAAGAAATCACTAAATCCACAGGGTACCAGTTATGCCGATTGCTAGATATGAATATGGATTCTTTGCATCACTGCCCCATTAACAGTGAAAAGAGAGAAGTTGGAGATGTAGGCATATTCCACTGCTACCATGTGTCTGTGATCAGGTGTATGCCTCTGCCTACAAAGGTAGTACACGCAGCAACATACATGTAGATGAAACTGGGTTTTGTATGCTCTTTTGTTGATGTACCCTAAACATAGTGTACTTTGATTTTCGCCTCTAGTGCCTAGCTAGGGAAATATTTTTACCTCAGATTTCACGATAAAAAAATTTCATCGAGCTCTCAACACTCCCGTTCATAAACCTTGAGTTTATGTACAGAGTTTTACAAATTATATAAGCCTGATTTTTCCAATTATTTTTGACATGCATAATGAACTCTTTAAAATGTGCCCAAAAATAAGAATTTTTTCAGCAAACTTTTTTTCACAATGTGAGTACAGGTTGTCATGATTTACCAGCATTCATCAACTTTAAAGGAATTCTTTAATGTTGATTAGTGATTTTCTGAGATTTGTCAAAGTGCATCATGGTAGGAACACTCAGCTGAATTTGTGCCTAATTTCTGGAGGTAAGCATTTTGGATTCTGGACTAAATTTGATGGTGAAATTTTTTACAAATGTTTAACAGCAAGTATTATGAAGGTAATAGTACAGGAATTTTGCTTAATCGATTCAAAATTTTTCAACACAGAAGTTCAGCAACACTGCCAGAAAAAAGTTGAGGGAAACGTCAAGGAGTGCCACGTGAGGGGAGGGGACTCCACTAGACCCCCACACACATGGGAAACAGGTGCATGCATGCACCATGCCCTCCCCCAATTGGTCCATGAATTCCAGAAACAACAATCTAATAATCCTAAACAAAGATAGTAGAATAACACTACCCATGACTGTGATTCTGTAGCCACTCGTTAAACATACACACTGCTACAAAGCTTCTGGTTATAAAATGCACTTCTGCCTCCTGCTAGTGAGAACAACAGCTAGGCTTACTCCCAATCTTTCTTGAGGTCAAATGCCCACTCCCAGTTGAGGAATTCCGTCTCATCATCGTCCACGAACTTGCTGTGGACAGTGTAGTGGCCACGAGCCATCAGTCCCTTGGCAAACTCCTCCACGGGTGCTCTGTAGATTTGGGCTTCGCTTTTAGGGGCGTAGCTTCCCAGCATGTACTTTGTTTGATCACCTTCATTTAAAAAGAGGACAAAACCCCTTGTTAAATGCCCAAGTATCCTCTCTAAATCACTGAGTTGTAAGTCATGCTGACAGATTGTAAAGGAACATTGGAAAATTTGTTCAGGATAAAATAAAAAGAATGAAAGATTTTTGAGAATCTTTGGCAGAACAGACTCAGTTCCATACACTGACCCTTCCCTGCACTATTCATTAACATGTTTTCTGTTTGTGCTGTAAAATATTCACCAAATTAATATTTGCTCAGTCATTTCACCCACTTGGAATATTTCATTTCACACAAATATGAATAAAAATTTCAAAAAAATTGATGTCTCCACGAATCAAAAGGAATTCAACTTCTACAAACATTCTGTGAAGTAACAAATGTGTGCCTACGATGACTATGAACCACTCTCCAGCTGGCTTAATACTCTGGTAATGATGGGCGCTGGTTACCAGGGAAGCATACTGTAATAATCAAAGTTATTTTGTGCCAGCCACAGCAGCACTCATTGAATGTCTTACAAACCCTTGCCTCGGCTGAAGGGCCCCTGGCTGTGGCCACACAATGGAATGCCACATAAGATTAGCCATTCTCTTTCAGTGTATAACTGGAACTTCCTTCAGATCTCATCTGGAACTTCCTTTCTTGAACTGACTTGCTACTTTCCTTTAAAACGCTCTCATATTTTCAGCCCAGTGTGGATTTGGAACTGGGCGTAGGCTGTGTAAGGTTCTTTTTATTTTTTTAGACATTAGTACCAGTGAACCACTCCACACTGCTGTGGGCTTGGTTAATGAAATGTAAGAGTTGGATAATTTAGTTCCCCTCCAACTATATTTTGTTTTACTAAATAAACTAATGAAACTATAAATTACCGGCTTGTGGTTATATTCTTTGTGAGTCAGGTTTAGAGGCCATTACAATACATAAGTCTTACATTTGACGAGCCCCTTGTGGGATGTCTGCTCATATCTTAAGCCGGCCACAATATCATTCTCCACCTGCAGAAACATGAAATCAATCACAATACCATCAAGTTTCCAATTAAGTTCACTAAAAAATAGGGGTCCAAAAATGTGCCATTTTCGTGTCCCTGTTACATCTGACCTATTACTATTTGCTTGGCAGGTAATTTGCATAAATTCATCACTCTTGGAACTAATACAAAATCAGATGTAACAGGGATACAAAAAAAATTGGACCCCTAATGTCTGGAATTACCCTTACTCATCACTTGAGGCAGCTACAATATTCCTGTGATTTTCTGCCTCCCAGTTGAATTCCTACAATGACCTCACGTAACTGGGTATATTTTTACAAAACACTAATAATCCGAGGTTTCTGATCTGCCGTACAAACTGATATTTTATTCCTAATTGCATTCCAAAGTAAAGCAATGATTATGACAAATAAACAAATCACAGAATATCATGGAGGTTGAAACCTCCATCAGGAGAGTAGCAACAACAGTCTGAGCTTTTTCAGTGTGGTGAATCTGGGGTTGAGATGAGGTGGCGGCTGTTTTCAGCCAAATGGTCAGGCAGGGTTGACATTGTAATGCCCACAGAAGTGAATCTTCAAAAGTCAAGGTTGGTGACTCAACAGCAGGGAATAGCTTGAGGAGTCTCCCAGTTAGGGAATGATTTTGAAACTCAAAATGGAGTCAGTCCTGCAAAATCAACATTGCCAAAAACAAGCCACTGAAGGAAGTTGGTAAGTGGGACACGGATAATTATAATAATATCACAACATTTATAATTTGCATGGAATATAACAGTATCTGTCATTGACATGCAATGATATACATGTGTACATGTATTATCATCAAGCCTGTTCGTCAGGCTTGATATACCTGAATATTCCTGAAACTATCCTATCAAAGCTGAAAGGTCTGATCAGGAATATGTACGAGACCAATTTGTGAGCCACCATTCAAACCCAGGCTGAAATAGGTATCTTAATATTCCCGAGGTAGTGGAATTTCCATAGCTCATGTTCATGGAATTTCCATAACTGTCACTCCCCGTAATTACTAAAGATTTCTACGTGCAAAGTCTAGACGTTGGATCCCTTTGAAGTGTTAACAAAAAAGTGGAGACAAATTGTCAAATATCATAATTACCTCCTTTAATTTGGTTTTGGGATGGTGGGTCGCATTTGTAACGTAATGTGTATAGAATCTTCCTTTGTAAATGAGTCATTCCATGAGGTTGGGGCACAATTTGTGACGGTGTCCTTGTTACATGGGTAACTTTTACCACTTGTCATGACTTGTAGAGTAGGTCATTTACTCTGTAAAAATAACACAAAACTTTGTTTTCAGCCTTGCAAGATGTATAACAATGTCAATTTGGAATCCACAGGCAGGGAAATAGCTGTTCTTTTTACGGAACCCATGTAGCAATTGACACCGTCACAAATAGTGCTCCAACTTCATGGAATGACCCAACGCAACAGAACCTGAAAGTGTGCCTAATGGAAGATGCCTACCTTAAATGTCAGCTTCGCATTGTAGGAAACACCTTCTTTTATCGTAAAGGTCTTTTCCTTCAACTTGGCAAGGTCACCTTAAAGAAAATCAGGAAATATTAAAAAACCACCACTTGCAAAAGCACATTTCTAGTGTTACCAGTGGATTCTTCAACTACGGAGCAAGACTGAACAGATCTCAGCACCAGCACATCTTCAATGCCTCATTGAACACACCTCTTCCTTGTTCTTTATCCTGGTTGGCTGACATCCAGTCACGAGTGGTTCACTGATATACATGTTTGTACAGGCTAATGTACAAATTATACGTAACTGTGAATCTGACGAGGACTGAGACATCATGTGCGTATAAATGCCAGAGTATAGTACTCAAAAATTTTGACTGGTTACAGCATTCTCACATGACAAGAACAGTGGACAACAATGCAAACACTGAACCTGGGGAAACTAAAAGTGTTCTTTTAATTCTTGAATTGTTTATGAGTGAAAAGGTTGAATTAAAACCCTCAGTTGTAAAACCCTGAAAAGTTTCCTTTTTTTATTTTAAATTTTGAACAAAGGTGTCTTGTAAATTACATATGGACTAGCATAATTCGGTCACTTGTGCACCAGTCAGCGCGCAGCCCCTCCGTTAATGAGCATTTTTGGCAATTCCATTTGCACACGAAAACCATCTCACGAGTACTTGGGAGTTCGCGAGAAAAAGCGAGTAGCGAGCAGTAGTGTCCCTTCAACCCACCAGGAAATCTGTTGCTTCATTCGTGGGTCGAAATGGCTTGGTGAGTAGATAGTTCACGTTTTTCACTATCAATACAGTTATGTATCGGCGATGATCGACAATTTCTCAACGATTTATTTGGACGCAAACTTGCTTAGTGTTTTTCACGAAAATCGCAGGTCTCCTCTTTTTTAAGTGCACCTGACTGTTTCGCAATAACTGGATAAAATTGAGTCTTACAATTCTTCACGAAAAGGATTAAACATCCGTTTAATACTAACATTTTTGCTGCCGGGCAAATCAAAATTTTAAAGTTTTATGCACTACTCACTCAGCGATCCCGGCAGTGTTTTCATTTTTGTGAAACGAATGGTAAGACTGGTTCGACAGTAAACGACCAACATTCACTAGGTTTCCTTCGATGCAAAGTCTGTGTTCCCGATTTCGGTCACACACATTTACGCGTATCTCTGATGTCATTTGATTGGCCAGTATCAGAGAGAATATGTCAATCAACCAATCACAGATAGTCTTTCACGAAACACATACGGCAGTGTTTTCGGTTAATCTCACGAAGTCTAAACCTGCGATAACGAAATATATTGGGTGCACCTGACTGTTTTGCAATGACTTGAAAAGTAAAAACTTATTGTTTGGCTGGATATATGACATCTCTATCTTTCTACCGTCAAGAAAATTCTGCCGGCCCAGATTTGGATCCACTAAAACCATTTTTTTTGGTACCCTCATTTTTACACACGAATGCCTACGTTTTACGGCTAATATCCTTCAAAAGAGACTGTGAATACTTATTTTTTTTACAAAGGATATGAGACTTATATCTTAACTGTTTATGTAAAGATATTCCATTCTTAAAGGTAACACAAGGTGGTATACGATTTTGAAAAGTCCACTGCATACATGTAGCTCACTACATTTGCACGATTCAGACAGCCGTGCATACGTAGCAAATGAGAGGAGCAGCTTTTACGGATGCTGCGCGCTGACTGGCGCATCTAATCCATGCCCCTCCCCTCCTTGGGCCTATGAGTGACCCGAGGAGGGTCCTGTTTCCCAAGACCCTGGGAAAAGAGGGCCTTCTCCTTGTCACTTACAGTCCCTCGGGCGTACATACATGTAGACTTGCATTTATACATGTATGTACATGTATATTAGTTCCGCATATTAATATTTAATGGTACTAAATAGTACCACTAGGTCGTCCTACTAAATAGGTCATGTTTGGTCATATCTCCAGAGACCCAAGGCTATGGGAAACAGGGCCCTCTCCTGGTCACTTTCAGTTCCTCAGGAGTGCACAAACATGCATTAGAAATCTCACTGCTAGTCCATATGTGTGTATCAGTATTTAGTTCTACTAAGTACTAGCAGTATTAATATACACGTAGGTCATATTTGGAGGTATCGGTGCATGTATCTCCAGAGGCTGCAGGCTAAGGGGCTCTTCTCCTGGTCACTAGCAGTCCCTCAGGCATGAGTGGATAGACATGCATTAGAGATCTCACTGCTAGTCCACACACGTATGTGCATAGTATTTAATATTTGGTCGTACATCCAAAGGCTGAGGCTAAGGGAAATAGGACCTTCTTCTGGTCACTCGCAGGCCCAAGACTTCAGTTTTTGAGTTGCTGTTCACTGTTCTCATCATGTGAAGGCATTCTTCTGGTTAAACTAGTCCAACTTTTGAGTAAAGTGCTTGACTGGGTCCTATACAGGTGCACAATTTTGTGGCGTGTGGACAGCTCATGTTGATACCCATTTCATGCACTAGCCTACATGTACCGGTATATTACTGAACCCCTTATGACTGTGTTTCAACCAACCAGGAAAAAGAGCCTGTAAGAGGTGTGATAAAATAAGTATTTTGGGGTCTTTTGATAATTCGTGTGATTTTTTAAAAACACTTTGGGTACAATTTTTTTGTTTTTGTACTGATGGCCAGCTAAAGTTTACAAGCAAACAGAAAGCCAAAAAATGCATGGTTATAACTGTGGCATTGAGAAAGAGTAGTCTACCTAATATTGTACATGGACATGTGAGTGGGTAAGAGTTTATTGTCTATGAGATTTGAAGCTTGTCTATTTGACATAAATCCTCCTCATGATGTGATCTTAAGGTCGATAGGCCAGAGGTATCAGGGACACCTTCCAGTATTTTGAATGTGTACTGTAAGATAGTCAGTCTCAGAGATGATTGAGGACTGAAATCCTCTTGGCATTTACCAATGGCCATGCATTCAAACCGGGGAACATTCCTCTTATACGGAAGGTCAACAAAGCATTTGGCAGTGACAACTTCATCATTATCCTGTAACTCCCTTCCGAAAATCACAATGAATAAAGTGATTGTTTTCAGTTGGGAAATCACAGGTTGCCAAAGTGAACACATTTAAATGTGTGTTACTGGTACCGCTTAAATCCAACACTATATCCTCGTGGTCCTCGACCTCCAGAGCCAACTTCTCCAGCGTAACTTTTGGACCCTCACCAGTTGCTAGGAAGAAAAAAAAAAGAGGTTGCTTGACTTCTGATGTTTTCTCAGTGCACAAGCAGTTAGGGGTATTACACAATCTTTAAATAATTCCCCAGTATGAAGCAGATATCAGTATATGTAAAATAGAGTAAAAAGTTCTGAGGGGCACGTGGGGTGCACACATATTTTCAAGGGGAATGGCACTGAACGTGCTGCAAGCGCACTGACAACAAATGAAGTGTGGCTTGTACATAGGTTGTGCACATATGCGTTTGGAAATTTCAAATGGGGGTGGGGTGAGGGTGTGGTTCACCCAGACAAGGACACAGACTTCTGCTGAGGGGGCAGGAGTCCTTTGTGCCTCCCTCCTCCTCTGTAGTTAAGCAACTGTCGAGCAAGAATTGTTTAGTACACTGAAAAGGGGCTTATTACAAGCTCTGAGTACTCCCTCTGCACTAAAGAAGAGAGAAAGAGGCTTGTACATGTACAATGCTGGAATGCAACGGGCTCCCTGCACAAAATACATGTACCCACTTTCAGTTTGGGCCAAGTTTTGGCATACATGGCAGATCGACTACTAACTGGTCCATTGCTTCTTGCTAATATGCAAAGGCAATGCCATCACACTCAATCTACATGCACTGTACCCTAGCTAACTCTTTTCCAAACTTGAATCTTCATTCACATTTTGACATTTAGCAGGGTACCAACCCAACAACTCCCTATGTGCAGTAGTTCATACCAAATGCCATTGATTATCTGCAAAGTGACCATGCCCCAGAACCTGATTTACTGGATACAGTAGTCCTACCATCCATGATTTGGGAGATGCCTGTTAAACTATAGTCCACAACAGGGTGCAGTCCATTAATTTAAGCAAGAATTTCTGGCCAGCTCATTAGCATTAAAAGTGCCCCCACAGTATCTTTTGAAAAAGGAGATTGTATGGCTCCCAAAATGGTGAGATTGTGTAAATCCTTGCCAGAATCAACTCCCTGGGTCTTTGGGCTTTCATCTGAGAGCAGAATGGCTAAAAAATACTGTTGAAAAATGGTCCTAAGTGCCCGAGAAAGTTGAGGGTTGTCACTTGAAAAATGGCTGCAAGCAGACTTCAGAAAAATCACTTTTTGGGGGGTAATTTTGTTTTGAGGGAATACCTCAAAATGTAACCAGTTAACCCACAGAAAATTGAAAAGAGAGTGAAAGATTATGGACCATACAATAATTTAACGTGTGTTTCAGATGCCTCAGGGATGTTGGTAAGCCTGTTATTGGGGCCCCAAACAATGCAGAGTTTACACTGTTCTCAATGGGACCTGAATTAGTGGACTACACCTTATACTCTCTTGAGCTTTTATCCATAGCACTGTCATCCATCTGAAACCCATTGGATGAATGTGGTGTGATAACCCCACCGGATATCATCGCTGAGTAAAATACTGACCTCTCTCCTTCATGCATTCTACAGTACAAAGCTGTGATTACAGCACCTGTAACAGTCCCATTAACCATGCAAGCAACTTGGACTTTGAAAAAAAAGAAAAGGAAATTCCAATCTTTACACGATTTTGTACGGTTCAATTTTCAATGGAATGAGTGTGAAGTGAGAAATAAGGAAATCGGCTGATCCAAGGAAATGTTGCATGCCTGATAAACCCCTGGTAAGGCTTCTTTTGATGCCATAAATCCCTTTCGGAAAAAGCATGGTTCTCATAAAAACCAGTGGTTAGTGATCACCATTTTGATCAGCACGCTCTGAGAGTGCAAATCATTCCTACATAGTGTCACAGCCAGGCTTACCAGTTATACCTCCGCCATGCAAAACTTCAAATGCTATTCACCTTGTGCTTCAATACTGTCTCCCAGCAGTGACTTCTTGTACTTGGTGAGGCTTGGGTCATCCTTGTCCAGTTCCTGTATTTCTTTCAGCGACTTGGGAGCAGGAGTCTTGTAGGAAAGGCAAGCATCGGTTGTATCGCCACCAGAGAGAGCGGCCTTGTCTTCGGTTTCAGCCATTTTCCAAACTTCTCAGTTTTTACCTGTTTTGATTAAAAATAACATCTGTGAGAATAAGGAAACCAACCCTCCCCCCAAAAAACCCTGATGAAAAGTGAGACAAAACGTGCAGGGGAAACATTACGAGAGGGACTCACCCTCAGCTTTGCTTAACCCCTTGACAACGGGAATTTCTTCCCGAAAGCCCACTCCAAGAATTCCAGCCTCGCTTGGCCACGAAGGCCAC